AGTAGTGCCTTACGTGCAATAATCGTTTAAATGTTCTGGAAATCTTACTCTTCTTCCAGAACGCTTCGTCTTAAGTTTATTTTCTGATACTATTGAAGTATCATCGTGTGTGTTGCCTGTCGGTTGGGGTATTATAGGCGTAGAAGTCGTGTTGTGAGACTGTACCGAAGAGAAATCGACGTGAATACGATTTCCTTCGAAATACGCTGGTTTTAAGCGATTGATGCTGATGCTATCGTTTGTTCCGTTCTTATCGACTATATAGTAATTAGATTCACGTTGAAGAACTTTGAAAGGTCCTTCGTATGCTGATTCGAATGGTCGTCGATGCGAGTCTCGACGAACGAAAACGTGTGTACTATATCGTAAGTCAGGTTGAACGAAAACATCGGTTGATTGTGGTCGAGTGGAAGCAGGTTTAACTGAGTGCATTGCGTTTGTAAGCCTGTTCGTGTAGGAGATTAGATCCATGTTCATTGAAGAGGATGAAGGATCCACGAATTCTCCTGGAAGTCGAAGTGTCGTTCCATAAACGAGTTGAGCCGCAGTGTATCCAATGTCAGCTTTCACTGCATTGCGAATACCTAGTAAGACGAGTGGAAGAGCGTCGGTCCACTGTGAAACGTTTGCAGCTGATAGCGAAGCTTTCAGTTGTCGGTGAAAACGTTTTACCAACCCGTTTGCTTGTGGATGGTAGGCGGTCTTTCTGAAGCGGGTGATTCCTAAAAGAGTGGTCAGACGACGGAAAAGATCAGATTCAAACTGACGTCCGCGGTCTGTAGTGATGGTTGAAGGGCAGCCGAAGTTTGCTACCCATCGTTCGACGAAGGTGCGAGCCACTGTTTCAGCAGTGATGTCCTTGATAGGTACTGCTTCTGGCCATCGAGTGAAACGGTCTACGCAGGTTAAGAGATAAGAGTATCCATTTGAATCTGGTAAAGGTCCTACCAAATCCAGATGAACATGGTCGAAACGAGCATCGGGAGTTTTAAATGAGCCTAAGGGACATTTATTGTGTCTGATGACCTTAGATTTTCGGCAGCTTACACAGAAGCGTACCCACTCCCTCACGTCTTTATTCATGTTAGGCCAGCAAAACCGTTCTGCTATAAGCTTCATGGTTGCACGAACACCTGGATGAGAAAGTTTGTGCAATGTGTTGAAAACATTGCGTCGATAATGTTTAGGCACGATTGGGCGATCCCTACCTGTAGGTGTGTCACACAGTAAGGTTTCCTTACCTGTTCCCATATGTTTGATGCAAAGCTTGAGTGTTGTAGACGATAACTCGTACTGAAGATCACTGTCTTCTTTTTGAAGCTGGGTGAGTTTAAGAAGGTCGATTCCTTGGAAACTGTTCAAGGAAGTTACGCGAGATAAAGCGTCTGCAACTAAATTGTTTGCTCCAGAGATGTGTTGAATGTCTGAAGTAAACTGCGAAATGTAGTCCAGTTGTCGAGACTCACGGGGAGAGTACTTGTCAGAAGGAGAGCTTAACGAGAAAGTGAGCGGTTTATGGTCCGTGAAAAGAGTGAATTCACGACCTTCGATGTAGTGTTGGAAATGCCGTACAGCACAATACATAGCTAGGAGTTCCCTACCGAATGTGCTGTACCTCGATTCGGTGTCTAGCAACCTTCTTGAGAAAAATGCCAAGGGTTGCCAGGAGTTGTTAACCCATTGTTGTAAGACTCCTCTGATTGCCGAGTCGGATGCGTCTACTGCGATACTAATGGGTGCTCGGGTGTCCTGATGTGCGAGCATTGTTGCTTTAGCGATCAGTTCCTTAACTGTGGAGAATGCTTTTCGTGCGGTGTCGTCCAAATTAATGGATTTCGCATTTCCACGAAGTTGGTCGGTCAGAGGTTTCATAAGTAATGCGCATTTCGGTATGAAACGTCTATAGAAACCTACAAGGCCGTCAAAAGTTCGTAACTGCGTGATCGTGGTCGGTTCTGAGTAATCCCAAATGGCCGCCACTTTGGTCCTAAGGGGTCGAATGCCTTGAGCATCTATAGTGTGTCCTAGGAAGTCTAATGAGTCAGCTCCGATTTGGCATTTCTGAACATTTACAGTAATGCCATATTTTTGTAGTCGTTCGAAAACAAGATCCAGATGCTTGAAATGTGTTTCTCTGTCCTGACTTGCGATTAGACAGTCGTCAACATACGCATGTACGAAGTTGAGACCTTGAAAAACGTCGTCTATGAATCTTTGGAATGTTTGAGCAGCGTTTCTTAGACCGAAAGGTATTCGCAAAAATTCATAGAGTTCGAAGAGAGTAATGATGGCGGTTTTCGGTATGTCGTCGGTGGCCATGGGGATTTGGTTATACGCTTTAACCAAATCGATTTTCGAAAAGACAGTTGTACCTTTCAAGGTAGCTGTCAAATCGTGAATGTGAGGCAACGGGTAACGATCGGGAATGGTTTTCGCGTCCAATCGCCGATAGTCGCCAGTTGGACGCCAATTGTTTCTGTCCTTGTTAGGGACCATGTGCAACGGAGATGCATATGGGCTACTTGACGGTCGTATGACTCCTAAGTCTATCATGTGATCGAACTCGTTTTTCGCCAACCTTAGCTTTTCAGGAGCTAGTCGTCGTGCTTTAGAGAATACAGGTGGTCCTGTAGTCGTGATGTGATGTGTAACGTTGCTGGTTACACACGTTAGTTTCAGTTGCGTTTGCTGAATCCCAGGATACTTATCGAGTAGCGGTTGATAAAATGGGTCTATCGTATATTTAATTGTGACTGGGGATAATCTGCAACCAGAAAAAGAAGTTACGCAGACGGATAAATTAGTGTTTCCGTCTACTAGCCTCCGTTTGCGAGTATCGATGAATAGATTATGGTGTTGTAGAAGGTCCATAGCAATGATTGGCATAGAAACATCTGCAACAACGAAGATCCAGTGAATGGGTTTGCGTAAACCCACTTAAAGGTAAACGTACCTTTTGCCATACGTAGTGATAGGTTTTCCGTTTGCCGCCTGTAAGTTTAGAGCCGATTCGTTGAGCTGGTCGTTGGGATTCGCTGGGAGAACGCTTACTTCTGCGCCAGTGTCGACGAGGTAGCGAACTCTCGTTGTCACATCTGTGACGTATAACAGACGGCTATGTTCGCCGGCTACGGTTGCCGTTAACGCGTGCCGGCTTGGAAGTTTCCCGAGTTGTTTTTCGAGTCACTCGGTTTGGAGTTGGGAAAATTGCAGGGTTTTCTGCAATTTCTGGAAGACTTTCCATGCTGGTTGTGATACCAGCACCAGTCGGGGTTATCTGTCTCTCGTGGTCTAGAGACAGATCACTTGAGTGAAATGCTTCTACGTGGGGTGTGCGAGCGATTACGGTCGTTACGAAGATTAAGATAACGCGTGAGTGTATGACATAACTCCGTTATGTCATTCTGAGTCGTTTGAGGCTTTTCTTTGACTGAAAATACCTCGGTAGTAGAAGATTCCGTAATTTCTAAGATACGATCGGCAGATGCAGCCAGTTCGTCTAAGACGTTGTTCTGAAACGAGACCAGAACTGCTTGCACCTGTTGGGGAAGTTTAGACAAGAAAAGTTGTTTGAATAGACCTTTATCGAAAGTTCTTAGGCCTATAACCTCTCTCATCCTTTGCAACATGTCCGTCGCAGAACCGTGCTGCAGGTCTATGTTATTAAAGAGTTGATCTAACCTTTGTCGATCGGTTAGATCTCCTCGTTTATGAATCGAACGTTTTAAGGTTTCGTACGGTTCTGAAACATCACTAGTAAACATACTAGGTGGTACGTACCTGTTGAATTCGCGCGGTAGTGCCTTGACTACTGCGAGGAATTGTGCACGTGTGTCGTTCACGCCGTGCTCGTGGAAGCTGGCTTCTGCGTAGCAGAACCAGGCTTCGATGTTGTCGGGCCAGAAGGACATGAGTTGGAACGAGGGTGGGGACATGGTCTTAATCTTAAATATCTTGGGGGTCCGTTCGGTCATAGGGGAAAGTTAAGTACGAGAATACGAGGGAAAAATATAGATATCCTGAGACACGGGGGGAAAATATCACAATGTATAAAAATTAAAAAATAAAGCAATAATATATAAAAATCCCAAAAAGGAACAGACTCACAGTTGCAATTAGGTGTACCAGATCACGTCGGTCTCACCAATGATGATGTCACAGGTATTCAGTGTTTGACAACGCTTCTACCAGTAACACCTTATATAATTCGTAACCACCCAGAGAAATCAAAATACAGAATCGAAGAGATCGGGAGAGTGTATTTGGCGATAACGAATATATCGGAATTCTCTGATCTAATCTGGCTAGCGATTGCGGTAGATGTTGAGCACAGCGTTACCACACGTGATCTGGTGCGGATGCATGACCGAGCGCCTTCAGCTAGGTGAGTCCACTAAAACATATGGTCAACATCCAATGTCGAAAACCTACAGAGCTATTTATTTTGGGGATTTATTTACCGTTACATCATAAATATTTTCGGTCCTCGATAGACAACAATTAAGCTTAACAGTTAATTTTACTAATATGCAGTTCTTGAATACAAAGCTGGATGCATATAAACGACTGGTCAGATACCTTTCCCACCTATGAGACATCGCCTTTCCTTTTGTTCGTCAGGATAGATAAACTTACCCTGCCGCTTTTGGAGAGAAAATACTTGGCTGGAATGAGTACTAAGTAAGGTGTATAAGAGTTTAAATTAGTACTAAATAACCTACTCACTATTCTTAACAGGGAATAAGTAATCTCGATTTTGATCCAATGTACGATAGTGAAATTCGGATAGGTCTGTTGCTTGAAGTTTGTTCCATAAAAGGCTTATCTGTAAACTTGTGATTCGTTGAAATAGCACTATCAAGGGTTGTATTGCACTTAGATTACCCTCAAGTTTCTTAGCTCATGTATTTTGAGATAAAATGCTTTTACTACACGCTTAGTACCGTAGTTAAAGTCCTTCAATGAAACTTGCAAAACTTCTATTCTAAATATCCGACCCTGAGACATGCGCTGCTGCCGCGGGTGGTTTGAGTTTTGATAACTGGTGGGCAGGTGTTCCTGATGTCCCCATTATTATCTGTTGCCTCTTCTATATCTAGACTACGGATGGCGAGATCATACATACTGTTGAAGTTTTATCTTCAGAAATAGTTTAAGGGCTCATGGGGACGAGTAAAACCTCATTTAGTTGCAATGAAAATTTCCTTTTGGCGTATAACTAGAGTTAGCTTATTTTCTTTTCAGTCTACCTAAATAGCATTCAGCCAGTATTTGATTGTGCTTGGTTGATGTGTAATATAGACACCTGGAATAAAAACCAAGCGGCGTTGATTAAGTTAAACGGGGCGAGGTTGGTGCAGTACGACATGACTTAGTATTTTTCCCTGGATGGATTTGTGATTATTCTGTTGATAAAATTCAAAAACAGATCGACTTTATAATATTTTTCCCCGGTCAACACCTATTAAGGGTAGCGGTTGAACCGAAGGATTCATTTTGTTAGACGTCGAATTAACATTGACTTAATGCCTCTGTTGTTTATAAATGATCGACTTTGGTCCTCTTGTTGTCAATAAACGGCATTATTTAGGCTTCGGTTTGAAAGTATAATAAGTCTGCGAGACCACAATCTATGGATGAGCCAATCAAACTTAAAATACCGATTCTAGGGTATCGGCGCGAACTTTATTCATCCATATGATTAAGTCGCATCTTGGTATTATGTTTATGTCATTTTGTGATGAAAACCCTGAATCTCACTCCTTACTCTGAATCCCGACTGACTTTACATCCTAGTCTGTAATCCTCTTTGGACGCGAGTAAGTAGGCAGGTTTAGTAAGGGTTACTTTGGCGTCTCTCAGAGTCCGTCTAAAAATTATAGTCTCAGCGAAAATTTTTTGAGAGGCTGTGTAGTTCAGTTACTAGTTTTTTATTAACTTGTCAACAAGCTGTTAATTACAAAGGTCAAATAACCCATGGTTTAACTTACATAGTTTTTCCTCGGTCTTTTCCAACTTATTACCAAATATTTTTTTCTCTTTTCAGACTTTATTTTTTCTGATTGCTTGAAAATCAACCCGTAACAATGTTCGGAGCAAATAAGCGTAAGTTTTGTAATTAATCTACTTGACATTATCTCTATAGCTGCCTTCGGTGCCACTTCCAGCTCTGCTTTTGGACAAAGTAAGTACCTTATAGTTATTATTAATTCTTCATAGGTTCTTCGCTGTTTGGAGCCACGTCGAATCCTCAAACACAGCCTACTTCAAACCTGTTTGGTCAACAGTCAGGTGGTCTCGGTGGAACAAATAAACTTTTCACTGGGAACCAGATGAGTGCGTTGTCGTGGGGTTCCACAAGTATGACCTCCAATGGGACGTCACTTGCATTTAATCCACCCATTACAACCGAAATAATGCAACGGGGTGGTCAGTCCTCCCAAGTAAATGCAAAACATATGTGCATCACCGCTATGAAAGAGTATCAGGATAAAAGCCTAGAGGTAATTAAATGAAAAATTAGTAAATGGGTTTATAAAAGGTCTGCACCGTTTAAGCCTAGTTGGTTATTTTAATCTCAATGTATATTATTTATTGGTCTACGTGATTTTCGAGCAATATTAACTGAACGTCACTACAAGTTTATTCAATGAATCAACATTTAAAACCATCATTTCTGCTTCATATTTTCTAACTATCATATATGTATTTGAATAACGAGGAGTGAATTTCACAACTTGCAATTTATAAGTGTCTTTGCTTTAGTTGTTTCGATCATATCGCGATCAGCTACCGCTGGCGTGGTTGTGTACAAGATTGTCGCTCCTTTTGGAGTACCTATCTGGACTCTGATCATGCTCTGGCCTGCGCCAATTTTACCTTACTTTTCAATGGCCAATGAAGTGACCATCAACAAAGGATTGATGTCAGCAAGTTGGTTGCAACTTCATGACGCCACGAAAATCGCGAAACTTCCCACTTATAAGCACTGGGTTTCTTCAGGCTCCTTACAACTCATCGAAGCACGTCGGTCTACTCCGTGTGACCATGAGTTTGAACACAAACGAAGGATGTTACGTAGTGAAACTGGGCAAAGCTTGCGTAAGGACAGAGAAACCTGGTGGTCGGAGCGTGCTTATGAGCTGGAAGCAACAGCTGCATCTGTTAACTACCAGAAGATTTTCCAACTCATCCAAGCCACTGGCAACAAGAAGTCTGGTGTGAGCGAAACAATCTGTGAGGATGACGGGATGCCAATCACTAACATCCATCGACGTCTTGGATGATGGGCAGAATCCTTCGAAGGGCAGTTCAACTGGCTTGCTGATCCAGCAACATCGGTCGGATTGTCCTGCCCTCCATGTCCGGTGACGACTGATCCACCAAATGAGGCGGAAGTTCGCAAGGAACTCCAACTCTTGAAGCGCTACAAATCACCGAGCCCAGATGATTTACCTCCGGCTCTTTTTAAAGATGGTGGTGACTTTCTGGCTAAGAAACTGGCTGTGTTGTTTACAAAGGTCTGGGAACTAGAGAGTGTACCAACGTCATGGAATGAGTCGATAGTTGTCCCTATCTTTAAAAAGGGTTCACGTCGTTCTTGTAACAACTATCGCAGGATAAGTTTACTTCCGATTGCGTTCAAGCTATTGGCTTCCGTCATACTTCGTAGGTTGTTCAAAACCCGAGAAAGATTGACTCGCGAGTAGCAGGCTGATTTTCGTTCCGGTTGAGGATGTTTTGATCATATCTTCACCGTCCTCCAAATGTTAGAACACCGTCATACCTATGAAACACCAACAATCGTAATGTTTCTTGACATTAGGGCTACCTTCGATTCGTTGGATAGGACTGTTCTCTGAGATTGTCTATTGAAGAAGTGTGTACCTGAGAAGTTTATTAACATCCTAAAAGCCCTATATAAAAACACCTCAGGCAGAGTGAGGGCATACAACAGCCTTTCTCCATTATTCCATTCAAGCAGTGAAGTTGTAAAGGGTTGTTCAATCTCATCATTCCTCTTCAACTTTGCCATCGATAACATTCTGGAAACAGCTCTGATGGATGTAAGTAATGGCGGTGTGGATCTGTTGCCTGGAGAAAGACTTCTCGACCTTGAGTATGCGGATGGTATTGTCTTACTGTGCGATAATGCCCAAGGCATGCAATCCGCATTTAATCAGTTGGCAATCAATGTCCGTAGGTATGGTATGTGCTTTGCACCTTCGAAGTGCGAAGTACTTCTACAAGACTGGCAGGATCCTAATCCTGTACTCACTCTGGATGGTGAGCAGATAGAAGTAGTCGAGAAGTTCGTGTATCTGGGTAGCTGCATAAGTGCTGATGGTGGCGTGAGTGATGAGATCAATGCACGTACAGTGAAAGCCAGAGCGACTTATGCCAATCTGGGCCATCTTTGGCGCCTTCGTGATGTTAGTCTGGCTGTAAAAGGTCGGATCTACAACGCGTCGGTGAGAGCAGTTTTGCTCTATGCTTGTGAAACCTGGCCTCTCCGAGTTGAGGATGTTAGACGACTCTCTGTGTTCGATCATCGCTGTCTCCGAAGGATTGCTGACATCCAGTGGCAACACCATGTTAGTAATGCAGAGGTTCGGCATCGTGTGTTCGGGCGCAGAGACGATAAAGCAATCGATGTTACCATCTTGAAACACCGACTTCGGTGGCTTGGACATGTTCTACGAATGTCGTCCCAGAGAATTCCACGTCGTGCATTATTTGCCGACGGTGGGACTGGTTGGAAAAGGCGAAGAGGTAGTCAGTGTATGATATGGTGTCGTGATATGAAAGAAATCTTCAAAGGGCTTGATTCTGTTGGTCCTTCACGACTCCCTGGTTGGGGTCCGAGAGATGGTGCTACACAGTGGCTAGAGACGTTATCAGATATGGCTCGTTGGGTCCGTCATGATATTTATATGGCTCTGAGAAATCAGATGAAAGCAGTTTTAATCGATTTTCAGGAAACGTGGCTTCCGAGTTGAGAATGTTTGACGGCTTTGATTGATCATCGTTGTCTCCGAGGGATTGGTTACATTCAGTGGCAGGACTATGTTAGTAATAAAGAGGTTTGGCAACATGTTTTCGGATTCACTGATGATAATCCATTTAGCTCTACCATCTTGAAGCAGCTATTTCATTGACTTGGACATGTGTTTTGAATATAATCCTAGAGAATTTCATATTGCTGACGCTGACTAGCTAAATAAAACGCGGAAGTGGCTAGTTTTTGACCCGGTGCATTGGTATGAATCAAAACTCTGCAGTACTGGTATCTAGCATTCCATCGCAACTCCGTAGTTGGGATCCTAAAGGTTATGCAACTCGATGTCTTGGGATGTTACTAGAAATGGCTCGAAATAAACGGATAGAGACCCTCTTGTGATTGTCTTTTATATTCTTCATAAAGGCCAGATGAGCTTGTTTGACTGAAATTGGTCTTTCTTGGCTGTATTTCTAAGTGAATTGCATCTTTTGTTGTTAACTACTCTCATTCACTTGTTATTCGTTTATTTTTCTTGATCATCTTTTCACAATTCGACTTCCTTATTTGTACAGCGCATTTTGCTTTGGTGTCCATTTGTACCAGTATTTGTGTGCAGTAAACAGCACAAATGAAATGAAAGTAAGTTGAGGAAAATTCCTACTATAGGTTCTATTACTGTAAAATAAATTAGTCATGGAGGCAGTCAGTTACATAAACTTTAGAGTGTTACACTGCACTGTCGATTCTTTATGCTAAGCAAGAATTAGAAGGTTCCATTTCTTAAAAAACCTATTATTAGTAATGGTACTAGTTCTGATTTTGCTCATGTATATTAACTGCGAGAATTTCCTTCTCTACTTCCGTCTTTTTAAAATTTGATTTTCTTACTTATATGGTGCATACTTATTTTGGTGCAATTGTAACAGTAGTAATGTATATTTTAATAAATAGTGTGTGTTTTTTGATTTGTAGGAACTTCGCCTAGAGGATTATTCTTTGAATCGCCGTGGTCCATCAACATCAGCGGGTGGGACTTCAATCTTTGCCACCTCATCCACTGCGAAACCGTTTCAATTCGGATCACCTCAAATGAATACAACAACATCTATTTTTGGTCAGACTAGTAAACCTGCAAATACTTTGTTTGGTGCTTCAGCCAGTGGTGTTAGTAGCAGCAATAGTATGTTTTTTGGAGGTACAGGGACTCAATCAGCCTTTGGACAAACTTCCCAAGGTACTACGAATTATTGTTACTTGACAAGTACCGTTTTTTTCTAGTAGCAATTTCAAATGTAAAGTGGTTATTGACTTAGTTTTAAACATATCCTGTGCTCTATTATCACTTATGTGTTTTATGTGCATTTGTTTTTTGTTTATGCAAACCTCCTTAATGATATCCCCCTTGAACTAGAGTTAGTTTCTCCAATAAGAGGATAATATTCCAGCGGAACTAATACTTTCAATTCAACCATTTATAACCTAACTACACAATTAGTTTTGTAATTGTCACAAAAAGCGTGACTTAGTTAACACCGACTCATGTTTAATGATTGTCGTAAAGTTGTTGCTTCAGATTTTCTGTGGCCCCATCAATTTTCTAATCACATTAATTGTCACTTCATTTGTTTCACAAGCGCATGTGTATAGAATAATTACATTGAGTATTGTGTGGTATCTACATGACAAAAGTATGGTTGATTCTACTGACAACAATAATGTCCGTCAGTCATAATCAAAATAATAGTATGCATGCTTACTTGTCTTTAGTCATTGGATCTTAATCTGATTCTATATACTCGTTTTTTAGACTAATGTATGTTACTTTTTTTCTGACTTTCATATAGTTACGTAAAGTATCTTTCCCCTAAAGTTATAACGTGGATTGGCTTTTTTTTGAATTACGGCTATTAATTGCAAATTTTTAAACATTAGCTATCATTATACCAAAGTATGATGTTGCTCTCTATGAGTAACTACAATTTATCACAAAGAATAAGTCCAGCCAGGACTAACTATTATATGGTATCATTTTAGTTATACTTTAGGTTCTATTGATGCATAAGCATTCTCCCTTGTTTTTTGTCTCTTTAAAAATCTATTATTATAGCAAGTTAATTTTACTGATATAAATTTATATTGTTACTCTAGGAGGTCTTTTGGGTTTGAAACCTCAATTCGGCGCTGCAACTGCTCCAAGTATATTTGGTTCGACTCCCGCATCTCAATCAACTGGGTTTGCCTTTGGTCAAACAAATCAAAGTAAGTTAGTCAGTCACAATGTAGAACCTAGTACTTATGAACATCTGTTCAATTTGACATACCCCGTCATCAAAATTGTAGGCCAAATAGTAGAGATAGTAACAGTATCAGTAATGATAGGACAGATTAGGCATCGAAAATACAATTTGAGAAAATATAATTTAGTGGGATAAACATCAAAAAGGGTTATGAGGAATTTAGAATCCCATAATTTTGGAAGGAAAAAACGGATGCAACTGCGCCATTGTAAACGATTTTGAGCCACTTCATTCAAAATCCCTAACCATTGGTTACGGTAATCACGTGGACTCCAACCAGTTAGTCTACACCGATTAACATGGTCAAGTTCATTCGTCAGTGGCTTCATCGACTGATGGCATATTTTGGTTTGGCCTGTCATAGTTTTATCCCAGTCTATTGTTACACCGTCCAGGTAGGCGGTGGTTGGGCATACGCAGCACATGTCCTAACTAACACAGTTGATGAAGATTTGCTACCTCATCTATCGACTTTCCATCCTTAACTAGTACTCTATTCCTAACCTAGACATTTCTTACCCAGTGCTCCCAAAACACACAAGCAATGTTTCGTAGACATCCATGATGGAATATCGGTAACCTACGAATATTCTCTACTCTTAACAACCAGGTTCCGCATCCATAAGCAGAACAGAATGAACTGTTGCACAGTAAACTCGTCCTTTTGTTGGTAGACGGATATTTCACCAACACCACTAGTGACACAAGTCGGCAAAAGCCAATCGAACCTTCTGAATTCCGGTGCAGATTTCGTCAGACACTGGACAGTCAGAAATGATGCGATTCCCAAAATAAGTAGCATGGTCAATTCATTCAACTACTTCACTCCGTATCATTAATTATTCAGGCGATGACGCAAATCAGTCATGAAATAGCATTCTACATTTGGAGGAAAAGAACTGCATCCCAAATATGTTTGCATTGCAACCATGACGAACACCACTTGAAGTAACCAAGTCCGACAACATTTCGGCATAAGCTCTGACTCGACCAGTAGTGTTCGAGTAGAGAACCTGTACAAGGTTAATGTACTTCTTCGGCACGCCTTTCAGTGACGGACATTGCCAGAGGAATTTACGATCAACAAAGTCTAACGTTGCCTTAAGGTCAAGAAATACAACAGTAGTCAGCCGTCGAAAAGTATGTCAGTGTTCCAGAACCGGACGAAGAGTGAATATTTGCTCCATACATCCACCTCCAGGTTTGAAACCAGCCTCCTTTTCTCGAGTGTGCTCTTTACGAGCTCCAGTCAGATGTCGAAGTATGATTGAGGCTAATATTTTAGACATTATATTAGTTAAACTGATTCCTCTGTGATTGATTGTCAAAAGAGGAGTTTTGTCCTTTCTTATAGACTGGGACGATCAGCGATCGAGATGAGTCAGATCAGATCACTTTTAGTGCCGGATTCTAGCTAAAATCTCAGTTGATCTGACTGCTCAAACTGGACCACCATCCTTAAAAATCTCAGGGGTTAGTCCGTCAAACCCTGTTGCCCTTCCTAGCCTTAGATTACTTATAGCTTTTTCAACTTCATTTACAGCAATTTGCTATTCAGGTTGCTTGGACATGGTGGGTTACTGAAGGCCAGTTGAACTGTCCTGTAAAGTGTTCTGCCCATCGATCCAGTTTCCTTGATCGAGAGTGAATAATAGTCCCGTTTTTTTCCGAGGTAGTTTCATTAACAGCCGGATTTTTAATACGTGTTTCCTTGATAAATCTGAACAGATGTCCACTGTTATCAATCGCTGGTGCCTTTTCCATCTCTTCTGATTTCACTACCTACCACTCCTCATAAATTAAAGTAAACATTGTGTTGTATAGTATTTCTATTAATAAAACTAAGTCAGTCCTGAAATAGCATTCTACATTTGGAGGAAGAGAACCGCACCTCAAATATGTTTGCATTGCAACCTTGACGAACACCACTTGAAGTAATCAAGTCCGACAGCATTTCGGCATAAGCCCTGACGACCAGTAAATTAAAGTAAACATTGTCATTTTCCATTGAATCTTGTATAATATCCCTATTGATAAAAGTAGAGTTATGAAAAATGTCCACTTACAGCCATCTTTTACTTTAGCTTTTCTACGTATATTTATTTTTAACTTTCAATCGTTTATGGAGACTTCATTGACACTGACAGTTTAGTAAAGTGCAACAGAACTCAGATAAACTGCTCGATTCCCACGTATTTAAAATGTTTCTTCACGTCATGTAGTCCGTCAGCTATTTTACTTGATGCTTTACAATTAGTGAGAATTCTCTCTCTCTAATTCGAGTAAATATAATATATTTTATTTTTGGTCTTCCTGTAATGCAGAATTACATCATAGGAACACTTGTTTTATATGATTAATCCACTTAAGGAAATGGTAAGAGATAATGAGTAATGACGGTGTGAATCTATTGCCTGGAGAAAGACTTCTCGACCTTGAGTATGCGGATGGTATTGTCTTACTGTGCGATAATGCCCAAGGCATGCAATCCGCATTTAATCAGTTGGCAATCAATGTCCGTAGGTATGGTATGTGCTTTGCACCTTCGAAGTGCGAAGTACTTCTACAAGACTGGCAGGATCCTAATCCTGTACTCACTCTGGATGGTGAGCAGATAGAAGTAGTCGAGAAGTTCGTGTATCTGGGTAGCTGCATAAGTGCTGATGGTGGCGTGAGTGATGAGATCAATGCACGTACAGTGAAAGCCAGAGCGACTTATGCCAATCTGGGCCATCTTTGGCGCCTTCGTGATGTTAGTCTGGCTGTAAAAGGTCGGATCTACAACGCGTCGGTGAGAGCAGTTTTGCTCTATGCTTGTGAAACCTGGCCTCTCCGAGTTGAGGATGTTAGACGACTCTCTGTGTTCGATCATCGCTGTCTCCGAAGGATTGCTGACATCCAGTGGCAACACCATGTTAGTAATGCAGAGGTTCGGCATCGTGTGTTCGGGCGCAGAGACGATAAAGCAATCGATGTTACCATCTTGAAACACCGACTTCGGTGGCTTGGACATGTTCTACGAATGTCGTCCCAGAGAATTCCACGTCGTGCATTATTTGCCGACGGTGGGACTGGTTGGAAAAGGCGAAGAGGTAGTCAGTGTATGATATGGTGTCGTGATATGAAAGAAATCTTCAAAGGGCTTGATTCTGTTGGTCCTTCACGACTCCCTGGTTGGGGTCCGAGAGATGGTGCTACACAGTGGCTAGAGACGTTATCAGATATGGCTCAGAATAGAAGCCAGTGGCGATCCTGCTGTAACCTTCTTTTACTTTCTTCATAAAAAGTGGTTGTGTCTCCCTTAACTGAAAGATTTCTTCTGATTGTACCTTTCCGTTCCCTCATTATTACTATTATTTTTACCATACTACCTTACACCAACCTCTTCGTTATTGTTCTCTTTTTTCACGCTCCTTACCTTTTTTTTCTTTCTCTTCGAATTCTCATTGTTTTGTGTGGCGCATATATATTGGCGCTCTCTTGTACCAATATTTATGTGTTCAAATAAATAAATAAATAAGAGATATACAAATTAATTGGACATTTTTACTTGATATGTGAATATAATTGTCCTGGCATAGTTAAGCATTCATCTCTGATATATATATATATATATATATATATATATATATATATATATATATATTTGTAGTTTTTTGAAAGACATTTAGGATTACTCTTTCAAACGGTTTCGGAATGTAGTCTGTAAATTTTATGAAACTACAGGGACAGTCTGCTACCTCTAGAGATCCTGGCAGTGGATAAAAATTGAGATTCAGTTGAAAACAATAAATCGGACTTCGTTTTGTGAAGAATCAACACCTGTGTGACCAGGCTTATTCTTAGGAAATGTATGCGAATACATTTTATAAATTAATCAGTAGGAGATCTTGGAGTCAAAGTTTACTGTTCGATACAACGAAAGTATCTAATTCGATGGTTTTAACATCGAACACGATCGTCGATTCGTGTAATCAAATCAAGTCAAATTCAGTCTACACAGATTTCCTCTTCAACTAAATCTGATTAAGAAAAACTACTAAACCACTTCCGAGATTTAAAGAAAGTGGTTGACTGTAGATTAAATGAAATCTGATTGTAAATCTAATTCATGCCACAAAGATATCAGTATCTTCCTTGTATAACAACTACAAGTTCCAATCCTAATACAACTTTCTAACTGGGTTGTAGCGATTTCAGTAAATCTAATTATGATCATGAATTTGTGTTTCTAAGTCACTGCAATTACCCTTCTCTATATTTATATCATATTATTAAGTATTTTTGTTCAAATTTATTTCTACAGCAACATCTGTCTTTGGTGCGAAACCCTTGTTTGGCACCACTTCAGCAGCTGGTACTGGTACTTCTCTTTTTGGAACCGCGCAAGCCACAACACAACTTGGAAATACTGGATTTTCATTTGGTCAACCACAGCAACAGGCCACTGGATTAGGCACTTCCACTAGCTTTTTCGGTCAGTCAAATCAGGCAGCATCTGCTGCCAAGCCTTCGCTTTTTGGGACTCAGCCAACAACCGGTACTGGTCTTATGTTCGGATCACCGGTATGTATAAAAGTTCTTAGATTTCTAAATCTTTCGTTTTCCAATTTTATAAACCTCATTCTCTACCTTCCAGTCTACCGGCATTTTTGGAGGAGCTAAACCTGCGGGAGCAACATCAGTATTTGGTGCTCCCGCAACTGGATTAACAGGTTTGCAAGGGACTCAACAGCAAACTGGATTTACATTTGGCTCTCCATTGGGCACAGCTGGTGGATTGCGACCTGCCGGCACGACAGGTTTATTCGGAGCGAATACAGCGGCTACAACTTCCACTGCCCTTAAACCTGGTGGTTTATTTGGATCTGGTACGTCATTAAGTAATTTCTTTTATCGTTCAGTAAGCTTAACGTCATTAGAACATTTAGCCCACTAAATAATCATGTTTTTTATAGTATATTGGTTTGGTTCCTTATCAAAGTGTTAGCTGTTGTTGTAACTTATAAGCAGCTTTATCTACTCTGGTCGTTTATTGTGATGTGATGTTCTTCACTATCGTTACCCACGATTATCCAAACCGATTGATTATCTTTATTTAATACCTAAAGACAAAGGAGTGTGGATTCATCATCCTACTCTTGTTATAGCTGACTAACTTGTTTTCAATAAGGTCGGTTATAATCAGCATAATTACTCGGTATCTGTACTATATCAAGAATTGTTACGCTGAAATTACGTGGTGTGTATGTTGAGTATAATAAATAATAAAGTGTAATAAACTTATCACGGTTTGGTTGCATTTCTTATGTTATTAACTTTATAGCTATCTGTACGATCCCAGTTCTTACGAAATTGCTTATTTATCACAGATTAGCTCTTGTATATATATGACTGTTTGGTCTTGTGCTTTCTAAAAACATATTTTTGTATTTCTCAGTTATTAGCACTAAATATTCTCATACGTTTTTTAATCGTCAGTTAATCATACGTGCATATATGATCCTATTAGTAACGTCGCACTAAAGTATTAGACATTTAACTTAAATCATCTGTCAGCGCTAGTCACCATACAAGGTTATTTTTATGACACTTTACTGGAATGGGTCCCTACTATTTGAGAACATGTGACAAATTTAGAAAAGTATCTGAGCAAAGTGTCTCTTTTTTATTTTATGTGAAAGCGATATGCTTTGCGCCACTTAAATTTATTACTTACTTACGCCTGTTACCCGTCATGGATAAGCAGAGGCCGCTCACCAGCATTCTACATCGAACTCTGTCCCGGGCAGTGCTTTCCAGTTGCTATTCATCCTTTTGGTGTCTGCTTCTAATTCTCGATGCAGTGTGTTCTTTGGTCTTCCTCTTCTCCGTTTCTTTTCAGGATTCCAAGTTGGCGCTTGCCTCGTGATGCATTTTCATGATTTCCTCAGTGTACGTCCTATCCTCCTCTTCAGCTGGAAGCTGGTTTGCTCTCGCCCATAGTAGGCTGTTGCTGATGGTATCCAGTCAACGGATATTCAGTATCCTACGTAGACAAGTGTTTATAAATGCTTGTACCTTTTTGATGGTGGTTGTAGTAGTTCTCTAAATTCCACCTCCATACAATAGAACTGTTTTGACGTCCACATTGAAGATTCTGACTTTGATATTGGTTGACAGTTGTTTTGAGTTCCATATGTTTTTCAACCGTAGGAATGCGACCCTTGCTTTGCCAATCCTCGCCTTTACGCCTGGATCAGATCCTCCTTGTTCATCGTTGATGCTGTTAAAGTTTTCACCTCTTCCAGCGTTTCTCCACCAAGTGTGATTGCATGGATGTTCTTCGTGTTGTATTCGAGGATCCTACATTTTCCTTGTGTATGTTGATGCCTACTGATGCAGAGACTGCTGCTACCTGCATTTGTTAGTGTGTATGGGATAGAAGATCTAGGTGGTCCGCGAAGTCCAAATCGTCTGGTTGGATCCGACCTGTCCATTTTATTCCGTGCTTCCTGTCAGATGTGGAGGTCTTCATAATCCAGTCAACCACCAGAAGAAAGAGAAAGGGAGAGAGTAAGCAGCCTTGTTTGTCTCCGGTCCTCATCTGGAATGTGTCGGTTAGCTGTCCTCCGTGCATCTTTTTGCAGTGTAGTCTGTCGTATGAATGCCAGATGTTGTTGGCGATCTTCTTAGGTATACCATAGTGTCGAGGAAGTTTCCATAAGCTTCTCCTATCCACATTGTTAAACGCCTTCTCGTAGTCAAGGAAGTTTATGTATAGTGACGAGTTCCATTCGACTGATTGTTCAACGATGATCCATAGTGTCGCAATTCGGTCGATGCACTACAGATCCTTACGGAATCCAGTCTGTTTATCTAGAAGTCGAGCGTCTGCTAAATGTTTCATCCGGTTTAGTAACATTCTCTTAAAAACATTTTCTGGTACCGATATTAGTGTGATACCTCTGTGGTTCTCACATTTGCTCAGATCTCGTTTCTTTGGTATCTTGATGAGGTATCTTTCTTTCCAATCTGTCGTCCTCTATTATTCCTTCCAAATCTTCCTGAATAGGACATGAAGTATACTTGCAGTTACTTTTATGTCTAACTTCAGTGCTTCAGCTGGTATATTATCAGGTCTTGCTGCTTTCTCACTCTTGATTTGTCTGATGATCATCCTGAATTCTTCGATTGTTGGTGAAGTGACATCTATAGGAAGGTCTGTGTGTTGCTTCGATGTCAGGTGAATTCAGTGGAGCTGGTCTATTCGAAAGTTCCTCGAAGTGTTTCACCCATCTGTTCCTCTGTCCTCGAATTTCAGTGATTGGCTCTCCTTCTTTCTCCTTGATCAGTCACTCTGGTTTACTATATTTCCCTGTCAGTTTCTTCGTCGTGTCACATAGTTGTTTCATATTTCCTTCTGTTGCAGCTTTTTCCACTGTCGTTGCTAGGTCTTCCACGCATTTCTGCTTGTCAGCTCTAATGCTTGTTTGTTTCAATGTATTCAGCCTGTGTTTTGACTTTCTCTGCTCTCGTTCGGCTGTTGTTAATTGCTGTCTTCTTGTTCTTCCATTTATGAATCCAGTCCAGGGTTTCGACAGAAATTCATTCCTTATGATGATGCTTCTTGCGGTCAAGAACTTTCTGACACGTCGGAGCTCATGCGTTTTTTCATCCCTTTCCAGTTGTTTTCCACAGTAATTTCTTCCTGTAGATATTGTAGGTAATATTGGATAGCATTCATTGTGATTCCCTCCTTTGCTTTGAGGTATGCTTTGGTGATCCTTGGTCCATGAGATTCTTATTTGGACAGCATCAGAGCAACTGCCTGAGTGTGTGAAGCATTTTCTTCTTCGTGACCACAGTACAATAGTATCTTTGCCGAACCTATCCTTTTCTATCCACCTTGGGTCCAGTGTGTTTAGCTTATTTCGAGCACTGCCATTTTGTGTCTCTCCATTTCCGTAACCATTCGATTGGTCCTCCCGGTCTCTCACATTGCCCAGACATTCCATGTACCTACGTTAATTGTTGCTCTGATTGTTAGGAGGGGTGTCGACCTCGTGACTTCCGCAGCAAGATTGTTTTCTACGGGATGGAGTTTCCGACCCCACGCCAAACTCTCCTTTACTCGTGCTTGGGGGCGGAAGTAACTCTAGAAGGGCTCCAGGTGGAGTTACCTAAGTTTATACATAACCTTTAAGTATTTTCATCGAAAATTGAGAATGATACCTAGGGTGTTTTTGTCCACACCTGTTGAAAAGATAACATGTATCTGTCATTAGGGTCTTTTTAAATACTTTAAATGTTCATCAGGTACGTCCACTGGTTTTGGTTTTGGGACTGGTTTAAATAATCAACCCACCGCGTTTGGTAATCTTGGCACAACATCTTCAGCTGGAACAACACTATTTGGTCAACCTGCTACTAGTAGCCTAACAGCTAAAAAGCCTTTCGGTTTTGGAACAGCTAATGCTGCTGGCATTGGATCGTTCGGTTTTAATCAACCTAATACTGGAACTACTTTGTTCGGTGCACCAGCCGCAGCTACAGGTTTCAGTTTAGGAACTGGGGCTACTTCAGGACCTTTGTTTGGTCAAACTAGTACAGGTTTTGGTCTTGGCCAAAAGCCATTGCAGAACGTTCCTGCAGGTAGTGCATTTGGTGGTGGCTTTGGTTTGGGAGCAAGTACGGCACCAACTATTGGAAGTTTGGGAAATAATCTTTTTGGCACTAATGTTGGTACTCAAGGTTTAGGCTCTACTGGAGTTCAACCCATTGGCTCTTCATTAACTGGATTTGGCACTGTAAGTTGAGTTTTTTGTTTTTCCTTGGAAATTATCGTTTAATTTATTATCGTCATACGGTAAAATGTACTTGTCTCTGGGGTACTAATGAAATTAATTCCTGATTATCTGTGAATACGGTGAATAGTACGGCATAAAGTACAGAAATGTAATCATTCATTGTTGCCTTTGATACTGGATTCTTTTTAGAAATATAGTTCTAGACGATTTTAATTCATTTAAAATTCATTCAATGCAATCGACCACTAATTATGTGATTACGTGTAGCTTAAGTTATTGTATAATTGTGCGACGTTAAAAATCTGTTTCATCTTGTCTACCGTAAATTCTATTTATTGTTGATCTTACGTTTCGGTGGATATTTTTGACAGAATGAGATCCAACTCATGTTGTATGTTATGATATTAACATTATTTTTTCAGTATTTGTACATTAGAATTGGTAGATGGAATTTTCGCTTTTAAAAGTTGAGCCACAACATCCATTTGTCGATTGTCTGACAATTATTTTATTAATTATTAGTGTCACTTTGAACTCTTCAACTTGGTTATGATAATGTGTGACATCTTTATCTATCAGTACATCATTAATGTAATTTGACTAGACAAGAGTCATTATAACGTTATAATTCATATATAAGTCTTACTGAAATTCTCTTACATACAAGCATATCAAAATGCGGTATGGAATATGATGCTCGTATTTATATACAATTTAATATCAAGTTGTATTAAATCTGGACATACAGTCTCTAGTTATCCATCTAATCAGACTTGTGATTCTGTAGTTTGTGTGTATAACCTTCAAATATCATGTCCAAGGTCCTAACCTATTTCGATTTCTCTAACTGTCACAAACTATGTATATCTGATGACCAACTTGTTAATGTTCCATATAGTTTTATGCTTACTGTACTCTAACCGTAAGACAGTCATTTCTCTTCTAAAATGTAGTAATAACGTTTTAACTGGGTTTTGGCGGAAATTTTCTGCTCGTTCTTAGTAACAGCTAAAAACGTGTACTGTGAAACTAGCTAAATTCTTGAGGTCTTAAATGTTTCTTAATTTTCGATTTCCAATGTACACATTATATTTATATTATTTTGTGAAGAGATTGCTGTCAGTCATTTTATGCACTTTTTAAAATTTATACTGGTATGATTCTCATATTTATTCTTGACTTTCACTCTTAATTTTCTGTTTTATGCACTTTCTGAATATTGTTTCCTAGATCAATGCAACAGGTTCTGCTTTCGGCCTGGGTTCCAATGATCAAGTTGCTCAGTCTATAAAAGCTCAACAACAAGTTCTAGAAGTTGTTCGTAGTATGCCATATGGTCAATCTTCACTATTTCGTTACTTAAACTTACCCACAAATCCTGCTTCTAATGCAGATCCAAAAGCTCAAGTTCCTGGAGCTATAACACCCAACACTTCTACTTCTGGAAGTGTTATTGTACCAGCTAAATATGTGGCCACGATGTTTGCTGAGCGTAATAGAGCAGCAGGACTCTTAGTTGGATCTAGTCCAACCAGTTCTGGTTTGAATGGTAGTCGTGTTTCTGGTTTTCGTCGTCCTGCTAATTCTAATACTCGTCTCCTGCAGGTAGCGAATCGCAACAAGGTAAATAGAGTTTACCGGCAAAGTTTGACAGTATTTTATGTGCATTAGATAATCTGGAATTCGTTATTGCAAAAGCAATATACAGTAAATAAATATTAGTTTATTTACTGATTGTGCATAATGCCACGATAAATTAAATTTGAATTCCTAATTAGTGACCCTAAGAAATGTCTGAATCGTTAAATTAGTGCTTGCTGAGATGATAGTTTAACGTTGGTTTATTGGTTAAAGCATTCAAGTTCCACTTACTCGACTCGTTTAAACTCCACTTCAGCTACTTCATTGTTGCATTCTGGGTGGTGTGGCTTAAAATTGTATGCCCAAGACTTTACTGGTTAAATGAGTTAAATTTTTTACTCTGATAATGGTACCAAATGATGAGAAATAAGGTAGTCTATTGGTTCTTCGTCTGCTTAAACGTTTACAAAAGGAGTGGTTAAAATGAGGTCTCGACATATCTTCTTAGTAGTTCACTTCAGTCAACTGACAACCTACTAATGAGTGTACTTCGTTTCAATTTGTCGGATTGTTTACCAATATTCGAAACACTTGGCATGATGAAACTTTGTTTCAGTCAGTTAATCTGCTTAGCTAATGTCTTGTGATTTAAAGTTTTTAAAGTCAAAGCCTGGCAAACTGACCTTAAACCTAAAAAATGTAGTTACACCTTTAGTTATTTTTTTCGAAAGTTTAGTTATCTGAGAAATGCCTTTTATTGTTTTTATCTAATAATTCGACGGATTGCAATACTGATGAAGTCAGAAATTTTCATATCACCAACTTGACGTCATCAACCGAGCAAATTAGACAAAGACTTCAGAAATTTGACTATGTCCAGCATTCCCATTAAATATCTAGTCAAACTGAGTTTCAAGTTAATCAGCAGCCTATAGGGAATAGCAGATAATTTTAGGCTTGATATTTTAAAGAAATGTCTTAAAAATACACAAAGGCTAAATTTCCTTAAGGCTTCTTCAACTAATTGTATCAAAATCCAAATCACAAATTTAATACTTTTTATCACTAAAAAAGTATATAGGTGATTCTGCTTATCTGTTTAGTATGTACAATCGGCTCGTAGTCCTTCACAATCATTCTCATGGTAAATTTTCTTTTATTTTGTTTTTAAATTATTGGAAATTCAGTTACCACAAATCTCTTAATATTTATTAATTGCATACTGTCATAAAATTTATATTGCCCTATTGCATACTTGTTGGTTGTCTGAATAGTTGACTGACTCAATAGGAGTATGGTTTTTCCTGATTCCATCTAAACAAAATTTCGTCATCCTTAATTGATAGGTAATAATTGTGACCAACATACTAGTGAACAGGTTAATGTGTAGATCACTGTAGAATGCTCGTATATTTTCCTTCCTGTAGATAGATTAGTGATTGGATAATCGTTTACTTTTCATGTTCATTTCAAACAATAATATCATAATTACATTGGCTCAACCAATATGCTTATTATTAACTAAATACTTTTTGAATAACCGTACTCAATATATTCATTTCATAAATTCATTGTCTCTTTCTTTTACTTTTATCAGTTGTTTTCAGGTTTTTATGAAGAAGATGCTTTAACTAGTAATCACAATTCTCCTTTGTCATCAGGTCTTCGACGTACCGCTTCATTAGGACCGACAGCCGTTTTAAGCCCTGTAAATAATAATAACACTAATTTCTTTGTTAAACGAGGAGAATGGAAACATTTACATCTTCCTGAAAATGTAAGAAATTCAATATTGGAACGGTCAAATGCTATAACAAATGAATTAAATCAATTGGCTGAATCATCTTTAGATAATAATACAGTACATTCTGATTTGACAGTAAATACTAATACATCAAATAAACAAATCTCTGCTTCCTCTGGTGATATTTCACTGAAAGAAGTAAATAAATCTAATTTGTCACTAGATCAATCTGTTATTAGTAGTACCGTGGATAAGAAAGTAAGTTTTATCTAATACTTAATAATTATGCCCTAACAAAGTATGACGAGTGTTGTGTTCTTATGCCCTGTTAACTATCAAGTGACTAAACAGCCAATAGGACACTGACTTACATAACCTCAGTACTGTGCCAAAAAAAATGACGCATAAACCAATACGAACAGCCAAGAGTCAACTCTGAGTCCTTATTTATACTTCTCATCTAGACCTGTCTGTTGAGTTCAGCAAGCAATCTCAGCCTCCACTGTATGAATCATGAATTTCAGACATACGAAGTTTATATACATGTAATTCAGAACGCATCATACCATAAAATAGAAGATAACAATTATAAAAGATCAAGCCAAAAGTGGCTGAGTGTGAGATACTGTAGCTAATACATTGGGGGTAACTTAAGAATAGTAAGTCGTATAATAGTAGCCAACAGGTCAAATCGAAGCCTATAGTAAAAGGAATATAAGTGCATACAATGTAGTTACTTAATAGTTATCCAATAAGAATATATGTTATAATGGTCCACAAATAATTCCTAACAGTTGCCATTCATTTATTCTTCATTAGGATATAACAACAAGATTACTCGAGTATGATTGAACCAGAGTAAGTACTTTTTTAGGTTAAGCACAGTTTACTATGGGAAGTGAATATGTCCGTTGATGAGGCTACGAACCTTCGTCAACTAAAGTAGTTAGGATATATGTCACTTATATCTAATCACTTCTCTGTCTTTTCACAGCCTCATTTTTATTATGTGGCGTATATATTATGATGCCCCGTTCTACGAATATTTACGTGTTTAAATAAACATGTCCTGTACCCTAATATGCAATGCGGGTTAATATAGTAGGTTGAAACAAAGTTTTAAGTAGGAAGATGGCGACATAATATTAATCCTATGTTGATAATGATCGATTGAATAAAGAAGACGATAATTATATAATATGGCATAAATAAGTTATTAGTTCATACAATTTAGAGTCGATCGTGAACAATCTTATTTCATTTTAAGCGCCTCCTGGGTTGCACTGCTAGCCACCATCCATCTTTGCTCATAATGCTTGTCTTGAGCGCTGTTAGAGGTATGAGGGCGGTTATCACTTCCCCGTTTCCCACACTGTGGAAGGGTTCTTCTAGAGGTACCGGAAAAGGGAATTGGGTTAGAGATGGTCATAGGGACCTCAGTGTCAAATAGAAAACTGCATGAAGTCAGTCACACATGATCTTTTTGTGAGTAGTTTCCGTGTTAGCTCCGTAGTTGTTGAAACCTTACTGCTGGAGACGGACATCCGTGGGATAAGGCGAGGTGTGCATTTTCAGGGTCGACCTTTTCTAACCCCACCCCTCCGTGTGGGAAGGTAGCATCGCTGTTATACCGGTTGTCTGAAGGAAACACCTTACTGCTGTCACACCTCTGTACAGTCAGCAGTACGACTTCGCCCTCAGACCATGGATTTGGTGCTTTTAGTCTTACCGCTCTTCAACCGACCTGTCTGGCATGGTAGGACCTTGAGAACGATTGTTCCAGCCAGTATAACTCGGTCGGTTCATCACGATAGACAAGCCCGACCACTACGTCAAGGTAGCAATATCGAGGCAATCCGCACAGGATGCTCATATTATGATAAGAGACTGATCAATTACAGTCCCAAACATCAATGAGAAAATTCAAACGAACAATACAAAAATGAATCAGAATCATGTTCTGTTAATTATCATTACCTTTATCGAACTACTCATACCTGCAGTGTGTAATTGTTATCATCGTATTTCTAATATCATATTATGATTGGTCAATAAACGAAGCCTTCTAATTTAAACATTTCAATTCCCAATTAATACCACATTAAAATTATATAGTTATCGTTGACTGCGCACTTGGAATTGTTGTGTTTCTAAAAGTTTACATATATCAATTCGTGTTTGTATTAAAAATAAATAAATAAGTAATACATCAAATACTTAATAATTGTGTACATTTTATTCCAATCGTATTTTGTCTTTATTTTTCTGAAAAAAATTAGTTGACTCCTGTTACAACAAGTGAATCATCGAGAAATTTATTAAATAATAATATCAATAGAAAAACTATTAATTCTCCATTAAATAATCATATTCTTCAACAGAATAAAATTGATAATACAATACGAGTACGTGATACTTTGCAAGGAAGTATACATGAAAATAACACTGATTCTATATTGTCCAGTCCATCAAATATTACTTATGATGATATTTCTATACTCAGATCACCTAATTCAGAACAAGTACATGGTGATGGTGATACATCAGATTGGGATCAACTAAGCTATTGTAAACCTAATACCATCACTACATTGAATGCTTCTGGTGTAATTTTAACAAAGCCTGGTTATTATACTTTACCTACGTTAGATGAATTATCTGAAATGGTAATTGATGAAAAATGCTTAGTAGAAGACTTTGTAATTGGTCGTCGTGTAAGTTCGTTTTTTGTTTTGTTCCGTAGCCGTTTTTAATTTATTTTTTACCTATGATTTTTCTTTGTCCAGCTAAAAATGAAATATGATTTGCGGAATATTAATTTATCTAAAGGGCGTCAAATCCAAAACCTGACATCATTCCATGAACTCATTGACAGTTGAATTGAACCGTGTTGATGGGTACAAACTAGCAGATTGGAGTCTGCAAGATCATCATAACCGGTGGTTGGAGACGTTATGTAATATTACTTCCAATAGTCCGCAATTGCGTGGATGTGTTCACTCTTTGTTTTCACTTAGATCATAATTTTTAGGACTATCTTGTACCTTTTTATTCAAAGAATTCTGTATCGTATTATATTGTCCATCTCTAATATTTTTCTACTAACATTGGTACTGTTTATATTTATACAACTCTGCCATTTGTCCTAATAATTTCATCTCGTTGTGCATATATGGTATGCCAACTTGAACTTATGAACATGTTTAGTGTGGTTTCAGTGTAGACAAATATGTCTGCCTCCTCACTCTGCCCGATCACGGCTTACTTTGACTAGCATGTCACTATAAATTTTTGCAGTGATTTAAACTGATACATTAAATTTTTGGGCTTTAATAAGTGGATGCATTATAGGTATCTTCTCAAATTTGTTTGCCTCTATGATAGTGTAATAAACGAGTACTTGGGTGGGATAAATTAATTTATTGTATTATGCAAAATCACACACCGCATTTGTAAAATATGGAAACTATACGTTGAATACACCACTTGCGCATCTTCCTCGAAATGTCTCTTACAAACTTAATCGTTCTTCCATTCTTGTTGCAACTCCGACTTCTGTTTTTCTTCCTCTTCTCCTCATATTCCTCTTCTTTCAGTAAGGATCCTACTTCCACATCTCGATACATACAACTTATGTCTTTCCGTCTACGTAGCACAATCTACAAGAGTACCACCAGTTAAATAGTGTAGAGATGCAAAATCTTATACATACAAGGTGTACTGGTCCATTTGTTTATTGTATTAATGAAGTCAACATTCACCCTAATATATTTTGTTGGTTGATAATACCAGTTTTGGAAAAAGTTATAAGTGGTCAAACCAATACACGGTGACATTTTATTAGGCTAGCAGCTGTTTAATCCTAGATGACATGTCGAAAATTGAGCATCATTTTACATTTGTAGTCACATTTTCTTAATCCTTAGTAATTTTCTATTCTAGAACCATGTCTTTATAATTCATTTCAGTATATTCGTATTTTTGTCTTGTTTTCTGTATTGTATAGCAACTTGAACCCATGCCATTTTGTCTAAGATTGTTCATTTTAATCAGTCCGTTTTTTTATTTTTGATGGTGATGTGACTTGATTACTGAGTACAGATATGTGTAGTGGACTTTCACTCACGCTTTATGTGTGAGGACTAATAGTACTATTCAGTTTCCCGAACCGAACTAGGTGTAGTGGTAGTCAAACCTATGACTTAGTGGTTAACAGTCGAATGCCTTAATTACTAAGCCACATCTCCACTTGAACATTTGACTTTGTATTACTATCCGCATTGTCTTTTTTAAAAGCTATCATACTGTTATATCGATGTTTTACTTGTTCTTGTATGTACTCTTAAAATTCAGCTTTATGGACATATACTATTTCCGGGGTTTACTGATGTTTATGGACTTAATTTGGATAATATTGTTCATATTCGTCGACGTGAAGTTGTTGTTTATCCGGATGATGAAAAGAAACCTCCTGTTGGTACTAGTTTGAATAAACGAGCCGAAGTTTGTTTGGAGTCTATTTGGCCTACAGATAAATCTACAAGAGAACCGATCAAATCGCCTGAACGACTAGCTTTAATGCATTTCGAAGAACGTCTGGAGAAGGCTACTAGAAGAATGGATGCCAGGTATTCTTGAGTTATGCGATAAATGTTTAATTGTAATCTACACTTTAGTTTCTCATTTTACTAACTATTTCATCATATTATATTATTCTGACGGATTTAGATTCATTGAATATCGACCAGAATCTGGTTCTTGGGTTTTTGAGGTCAAACACTTTTCCAAGTATCGGTTAGATGATTCAGATGGTGAAGCTGAAGATAAAAATTGTGATTCAGACTCACTGAACAAATCACAAATTGTTTCGAAAGCGGCTGATTTCAAAGCAAAATGTCTATTCGATAGTGATCAATCAATCAATGATGATGCATTCAATATCATTCATAGAAATGAGGTAAATGTTAATGAATTTTCATACTATATACGTATTTATTACTCGGTTAATTCCTTATCCTCATGAATCACTATTTTTTATAATATCTTATTAGGTGGTCTGTAGTAGTCGACAGGAAACCCCGTTTGTTTTCCCTTGACTATATTCACTTCATTTGTTAGTAGTTTTAAGTGAGATTAAAATTACTTTATACCTTTCTTTCTAATTCTTTCTACTTGTGTTATATCCTTATACACAATCTTTATTTTATATATTACTACCATTGAAGTAAATACTATGAAGTTGGTGTTCATCTTGTTGTGCTAATGAGGTATGGCAGCTTGGACCGATGCATATATGTGCCTGGTCCTACGTTGTAGCTGACTGACCAGGTTTTAAGTCCGTTCATTTTGTCGATTTTCTGTCTATCTGTTGATGTAATTTGTCACAAATAGAACCAACAAACATTCGGAATAAACAGTGAATACACGAACTTTTGTCAACTACCTATCGCAATGTAACCAGTTCGGTGTTACTGTCGATTTCACTGAGTGTTAACGGATTCGCTATACATTAACATACGCACTAAATCCAGGAACGAAATACGGTGGTTCCATTCCCATCCATTAGTTTTCATGGCTTAATAAATCTAGGCTTTAGTGAGAATGCATTGTTATATTTTAAATTGTTTTGCTTGTCTGATTTACTTTAGGGTGAGAATATCTATAGTGATAAAATTTATTAGTACGCATTGTTTAGTTATTAAGTAACTACATGTCATAGTAAATCAAGGCTTTCAAAGTCACACTTAACAAATTAACAGTACTGAATAAACTTCCTGTGTTGGGGATTTACTTAAAAATTATAATGCATGTGAGGTAATAAAATTAATATTTAGGCATGATATCATATATCTGGATAGTCACATTCGTGTTCTGTTTACATTGCTGACTGTTTCACCTTACCACAGCTTGTAACATAATGTTGGTTCCTCTTAACCGAGGCCATTCACACACACACAAGGCACACTGTTGTATCAAATCCACTTACCAAACTTCACATCAGCAAAGTAAAACAAAATTAACTTGGTAGAAAGTAAAGGAGTCACTGTAAGTATGTAGCTTAAAAGAAAGAATTGAAATTATTTACAAATGATTAATCACTGAGTAGTGACCATTGTTATATATATCAAGTTCTTCTTAGTGTTGGTTGGATCTTACCGATCAAGCTCGACCCCAGTCCTACAGAAGGTCAGTGGCGCCTCGAATATCTCGTTAGTAGCGTCTCTAATTGTGACTCCAGGGAGTATCAGTTCCCTCCCTACTTTTGTTTGGGCATCCGGGCAGTATGATGGCCCACACACAAATCAAGTGACTTGTGTGGCGCATATGTATTTGGTGCTCCTTTGTACAAATATTTATGTGTTCAAATAAATAATAAATAACCAGTTCCCTCAAAACTACAGATGTACCTTGTTGATGAATGCCAAATAGCACGGGACTTTGTCCCATAGTTTCCTGTTGACCAATTCCAAATATTTCCTTATAATAAAAAGCGAAATAATGTTGGAACTCAAATATGTCTAATCACATCTTATGGTAATTTTTGTATCCGAATTACATTGCCTTTAGTCTTCGATGTCACTCCAACTAGTGATAAGTAACCTCATGGTTTGATCGTCAATACCATTTTTCTAATCTATTCGTATGATGACCAGCATCGCATATTAGTAGAATAAAAAACCAATAAAAAAGCATATCAGACTGCGACCAAGATTAAAGAAAAATAAGAAATGCAAGATTAAAAAAATAAAATAACTCAATCTTAAGTTATATGTGTGATCTTTATAAATCGAAGCGTCTTCTACTCTTCTTCATTTATTGCTATTAGAAACTTGGAGCTTTTGATTCAGACCAAGGAACACTCAAGGATTTCCAATTAAAGAGTATGAAGGTTATTGATCCTCAATTCGATCAGCAAGTAAGTTATTGGAAGTTATATGATTACTATATACTGCTGAATTAGACTGGAAAATTGTTAGTTTCATTAATTTTTTGTGTTCAATTGTAAACGCAGTATCCTTTCTCACTGTAGTCAAAAACTTACATCTCATAAGAGGGTATTACATAGTTGTAAATTTGTCAAGTACTCTAATTTGTATTGATAAACTTTATTTTTAATGAATAATGGTCTGATTAAATCACTTATTAAAAAGTTTATTTTAGTCCTTAGCTATAAATTTAGTTCATTGATAGTAATTTTAGTTTCCTCAACACAATTAATAGTTTTCGGTAATTTCGTATTCCGATTCACTATTTGTAACAAACCATTTTTTTCCAAAAATTAGTCGATTCGTGAATTGATTTGTTTGCAACGATTCTGGAGAAGTTTTAGTTGCTTTTTACACGGGAGCGTTACATGAATATTTTGAGTACTTCGATTTCAACATATAGATTGGAAATTTGAAATCCCCACTTATGTCTGGGTAACCGGATGGAGTATAATTTTCCCCAACACAAACGTTGTGGCTCAATGTCAAGTGCGTAGAACTGTACTTGGTAATAAGCTAACCTATTTTTGTTGTTATTCTTTCACGCTAATATTTTGTTTCTGTTTTATTTTTGATACTTCATAGAGTGATTTTTACATCCCCCAAATATTCCGCACCTTACCGTCGTGTCCCACTTACGATGGTATTGCACTATACGAGGATGATAAATTAGATCAACGAAATGATCTACCACAAAGTCTACAGTTGTCAATTATGGAGATGAAAAACAATTTGGATGTGATTAATGGTAACAACTTCTTAATGAATTTGTACCCGTATGAAAATATAACAAAAATATGTGGTAAGTGTATACATTTAGTGTTTACTTATACAATACATGCAGTTTTACAGTTCAGATTTTTTTCTATAACTTGAACCTTTTGTGTTAGTTGAGTGAGCTCATTTCATCGTTGATCTCTATTGATTGTGGAATTTTAGGTCTCGATCATCACAGCAATCCATATGATAACGGTCACAAATATGTGTTTGGTACGTAAAATCCTCGAAGCTATATATATAATTAGAAAAGGAAAATTTTACAGAGAACATAGTTTGCTTGCTGTTGTGGCGTACGGTATCCTAAATTTGATACTGATATACGGTGTACTACGCGCTAACCTCCTCCTCCAAATGGCCACTTGCACGAGAACACAAGTATGAGCGTGAATGTGTTGGACTACCGAATGAAATGCACTTGACCTTTAGGTCACTTCTGGTTGTCATGGCTTGACTTTTTACTACTTCTAATTGGCACTCCCTATCACATGCCTATGTTAGGAAAAATAAATCTAGTTTTCTAGATGCTGTTTTTAAAAGATTAGAGTAATCTCACGTTATTTATTTCTTATTTGCTACATTTCTTTAATATCCTATTACCGATCAGCCTCGTCGATAACATTCATTATTGACACATTTAATTCAAAGAGGGGTTTTGTGGATGTTATAGTAATTTAATGGTTGAATTCATGAGTCAATCGAACCTAGACCACTATAGAAAACCTGGAAGGACTAGACGGCCGTTTCGTCCTAGTATTAGTTCGGTCTAATTATTTTCATTAATTTCGACTGTATTATTATTATTATTATTATTATTATTATTATTATTACTACTACTACTACTACTACTACTACTACTACTATTATTATTACTATTATTATTATTATTATTATTATTATTATTATTATTATTATTATTATTATTATTTGTAGATACAGTGTCACTGAAACCTGGCACAAATCATGATAATATGACATTGTTAAATCATGTTTCACATTGGATAATGGATGCTGGTCTTTGGCATGGTCATGGTATGCGGCCATCTTTCAGTTATTCACGGTTTCCTGAATTCCATTCTATGGTACTAGTTTGTCCATCACCGCGTGGTAATCAGTACAATGATGAGGTGAATTTTGATCTAACCAATTCCATTACATTCTTCACATTACCATCACCGATCGAATTATTCGATGAGGTTAGAATTAATGAAACATTTGGTTTTTCACGTTAACTGGTATTGTTCATCCCGTTTTTGGTAATTTTCCTTTTAATTAGTGAATACAATATTTTGAATGTGTCACCTTTATTTACTTAATAAACTTAAAATTTATGAAATTGAGCCAGTGCATATTGATACCATGTTTAAATCGATTGTAGCAGATTGACATAAAATCTGGTACAACTGGGCACTAAAAATTTATGCACTATAAAATAGAGAGATAGCAGTGTGAAGAAATAAAAGCGAGAGAGTGCAATCTAAGAGATAAAGAAAGTAGTGAGCAAGAAAAGTACACAGTAGGAGAGTCCTGTTATAAGTACAACTAAGAACTCGTTCCAGTTAAGAAAGTTCATCCCTTACGCAGAAAATGTAAAAAAACAAGGTCACTTTTATTGTAGGCCATATCGTGTAAAGTTGCGTAAAGTTTGGGACTCCAACCAAGGAGTCGCGATGAATCGACAGAAGTTAGTTCTGTACAAATTTCTTTTATAACCCTATGCCATATCATAATATGACTACCACCGTTTTTTCCACCAAGTGTCATTTAATGCGTGATATGAGATTGTATTCATAATCCTGGTTCAAATCATCGAAGTTGGTGTTTCAAGATAGTAACACCCACTGAATTTTCACCAATGAGTCCGAACACGTTGCCGAATTTTTAATCATCATCACTTTATTTACCAGATAATAATCGATGAGCCACATTCTAAATATAAGTTCTACTAATACTATAAAGTTGCCTAAACTGAAGTATTGGAAGCGGAGATTAAACCTGTGACTTCACGATTTCATTTTCATCGTGGTGTATTCATATTTCACTGCCTTCGCCCGTAGCTTTTCTAGAGCTACTGCCGGCGCCAAGCAAGGGTAAAGGAGGAGGGTATGGCGTGGAGTCGACAACCCCATCCGTAGAAAACAACCTTGCAAAAAGCACTAACCAGAATAAAGAAAAATACACCATTAAAACTCTGCCCTCCGGGTTGAAGGACCTTCTTTCAGAAGAACTATGATGCCTCATAGTGAAAGCTGATATCCTTCGGAAGTCACGAGGCCGATACCCCTCTTAACAACCAGAGCAACAATTAACATAGGTACATGGAATGTCCGGACAATTTGAGAGACCGGGAGGACCAATCGAGTGGTTACGGAAATAGAGAGATGCAAATTGGCAGTTCTCGTAAGGATCTGTAGTGCATCGACCGAATTGCGACACTATGGATCATCGTTGAACAATCAGTCGAATGGAACTCGTCACTATACATAAACTTCCTTGACTATGAGAAGGCGTTTAACAATGTGGATAGGAGAAGCTTATGGAAACTTCCTCGACACTATGGTATACCTAAGAAGATCGCCAACAACATCTGGCATTCATACGACAGACTACACTGCAAAAAGATGCACGGAGGACAGCTAACCGACACATTCCAGATGAGGACCGGAGACAAACAAGGCTGCTTACTCTCTCCCTTTCTCTTTCTTCTGGTGGTTGACTGGATTATGAAGACCTCCACATCTGACAGGAAGCACGGAATAAAATGGACAGGTCGGATCCAACCAGACGATTTGGACTTCGCGGACCACCTAGATCTTCTATCCCATACACACTAACAAATGCAGGTAGCAGCAGTCTCTGCATCAGTAGGCATCAACATACACAAGGAAAATGTAGGATCCTCGAATACAACACGAAGAACATCCATGCAATCACACTTGGTGGAGAAACTCTGGAAGAGGTGAAAACTTTAACAGCATCAACGATGAACAAGGAGAGTTTGATCCAGGCGTAAAGGCGAGGATTGGCAAAGCAAGGGTCGCATTCCTACGGTTGAAAAACATATGGAACTCAAAACAACTGTCAACCAATATCAAAGTCAGAATCTTCAATGTGAACGTCAAAACAGTTAGGACGTACATTGCGGAAGTCATCAAATTGAGTTACGAGGCAAGCGCCAACTTGAAATTCTGAAGGGAAAGTGGTAAAGAGGAATGTCGAAGAACGCATTGTTCCGAGAATTGAATGCCGACATCAAAAGGATGAATAGCAACTGGAATATACTGCCTAGGACAGAGTTGAATGGCGAATGCTGTTTGCGACGTCTGTTTCTCCTCGAGGAGTAACAGGTGTAAGTAAGTATATCTCTTTGTTCGAATTTTACTGTGTTCGAATATATGAAATAAAGATAAACAGATGAATTAGAAAAAGTTCAATATGCAGCTGTCCGAAATACTACTTTCTGAATGCTACAAATAAGTAATTTCTTATAGTTGTTTTCAATTGTTTAATGCAGAGTGCCGTTCATTAAATCTTTAGCTAAATAACCTATAGTGATCAAATTTGTTTTGCTGAATTTAGTTTTGGGATCGATTTAAACCTCTTGACTGCCTTCAAGAGGTATTTCCTGGATTTCTAGTGAAAAGCAATTACCTGTAGATTTCAACTTGGTCTATTGTGAAATAGTAACTCACCGAAGACAATGGTGGACAGTGGTGCAATTTCGTGCTTTGGTTGAAGTTAGACATTAACGCTATCGGATGCCGTCCAATGTCTGCATTTCATGTCACTATTCTCATTCGTCTTACCATAAATTCTAGCTAAATTTTTGTTGTTGTGATACACTCTCCATTCAATCTCTATTCAATAACCATCACCTTCTAAATATAAATTATAATCAAATATACTGTACACTTGATTTTACAAATGTCTTAGTTTTTATTTAAATCATAAAATCAGACAAGTGTTATGTAATTGGTTTGTACTTTAATTATTCATTACATATTTTGAGTCTGAAACATCACAAGAATAAATTTCATTCTGTGTTACATTTATAATGGTATGATAAAAATTATTCATACAACTGTTTTAAAAAATTTAATGAGGTCAATTTTTTTCATCATTAATGTTTATGTAGTATCTTGTTAATCAGTTGTGTCGTTCATATGTTAATCGTAACAATAATGTTTTTTTAAAAATTATTCTAGGATATGCTTAATTCAGCTTTGACTACATCTATGCGAGTTATACAAACTGGTATTAATTCATTACAACCACCATGTAATCATTGTCCTTTATGGCGTCCCATTATTGGTTTAACAGCTTTAGAGTCTTATACACGTATATTGAATTGTGATCCTTTAAATAATATCAATGTGAATTTTCATGAATCTGTTGAAAATGAAAAACTCAGTGCTCGACTAACTGGTTTTAAACGAATATTCAGTCTTTGTCAAGCACTTTGGGGACGTCATCCACAAGAAGCTGTCGCTGAAGCAATGGCTGAAACTGACAGCTCCACTGATAAAATCTTCAATACTAAATTAATCAATTCTGATTTTCCTATTTTAACTGACACTAGTCAACTTTGGAATAATGGTGAATGCATTAGTAATGAAGTTTATCGCAATTATAATTTGGTGAATTATCCTATCAGTATGTTTCGTGAAATTTCTGGTATGCGTTCTTTAGCCAGAAAGCAAGCTGTTTCAGAATGGATTAGGTTTGTTTGTTCTTATTTTGTCGCCTACTTTTCAGATAATGTTTATTTCATAATTTAATCTTTTCATTAATATTAATAACATGTGTTCACTAAAATCTTTTGGTTATTGAACTTCTCATATTATGCGGCCTACTTGAGCATCTGGGCTACCTGTTTCCTGCCATCTAGACATTTTAACAAGTTATCTATTTTTGTTTGTTTTAATATATCATTATGTCTATTAATCGCATAAGCTATCCTGGTGCATTTCTGAAAAGTGTACAACCTTTCATTGTCAAAGTTACAAAAAGCTCAATAAGAGACAATGTGGTTGATGGCAATATACAACGAAAAGAATGTACATTATTCAGATGTTCAGTTACTGAACTGCTAACATCTAACTGGCGATCACTCAATATTTATCGCCATGACCGACCAAGAAGAAAGAAACGGAAACTTGTTAAAATACTTTTCACTGAGAATTCTATATTGTACCAAAAATATAATATTGAATAAAGCTAATAATAATAATAATAATAATAATAATAATAATAATAATAATAATAATAATAATAATAATAATAATAATAATACATATACGAATATATCGATGTTAAATAATTTGTGTGTGAAAAGGTTACAAGTAGACGTATTTTTATTACATCGGTTACATCGTAATCATAAGTAAATATGAATTTTCTTTTACTTATTTTTTTCAATAGTTGTTTTGATAAATAGTAATAATATCCACTTCTTAATCTTTATTTTCCATCCTTAATGTTTGCATCATATGTTTATTTCTATCCTGTTATTTTGTTGTTTATACTTTTTTTACGAATAATTAGAACACAATCATTTCCCTGGTTGAAATCCAAATTGGAATCTTTGCGTTTAGTAGAAGCAAGTGGTCTGAATGAAACTGCATCTGATTCGTTTGAAGCGTTTTCCATATCTAAACTCAATTCCAACAATTATGACAGTGATATTTTAGTACAAGGAATATTTGCTTGTTTGGTATCAGGTGAATCGGGTGCTGCGTGTCGTCTGGCCATTGTATCCAACATGCCAGCTTTAGCTTCGTTAATAGCACAGTCAACTGCCGGTGATCCAGTCGTTCGACGTGGTTTACAACATCAGTTGAATAAATGGCATGAGATAAAAGTTAGTTGTTCACTTTAAAAGTAACGAACTATATATTCTACAATTATATGTTCGAAAGTAGTAGTAATGCAGAGTAGGTCTTATAGTTACTAGTAATCTTAATCAAGACAAAAGAGTTTAAAGGTAATGAAATATATTAGTGGTCGGGTAATCACACAAAATAACAAGAAATAACATAAATAAATATTTGAACATAAGATGACGTTCGAGAGATAAATATCAAAAGACGCAAAATCTAAAAAGGGTTATTTGATATATATACAACCACTGTGGTAGTGAAAGGCCAATCATATTTTCCTTCTGTACCCATAGTTCAGGCTGGAAATATTTGATATCGATCGCATCTTCAAAACAATAAGATTGATGTTTTATTTCTCTGTTACTTATTTTGAAAACATTACACTTTGGGGAACAGTTCAACTGGCCTTCGGTTACCCAAGCAACCTGAATAGCAAATTGATATGAATCCTCTAACTTTTAGTAAGGTTGAAAAAGCTATAAGTAATCTAAGGCTAGGAAGGGCAACAGGGTTTGACGGACTAACCCCTGAGATTTTTAAGGATGGTGGTCCAGTTTGAGCAGTCAGATCAACTGAGATTTTAGCTAGAATCCGGCACTAAAAGTGATCTGATCTGACTCATCTCGATCGCTGATCGTCCCAGTCTATAAGAAAGGACAAAACTCCTCTTTTGACAATCAATCACAGAGGAATCAGTTTAACTAATATAATGTCTAAAATATTAGCCTCAATCATACTTCGACATCTGACTGGAGCTCGTAAAGAGCACACTCGAGAAAAGGAGGCTGGTTTCAAACCTGGAGGTGGATGTATGGAGCAAATATTCACTCTTCGTCCGGTTCTGGAACACTGACATACTTTTCGACGGCTGACTACTGTTGTATTTCTTGACCTTAAGGCAACGTTAGACTTTGTTGATCGTAAATTCCTCTGGCAATGTCCGTCACTGAAAGGCGTGCCGAAGAAGTACATTAACCTTGTACAGGTTCTCTACTCGAACACTACTGGTCGAGTCAGAGCTTATGCCGAAATGTTGTCGGACTTGGTTACTTCAAGTGGTGTTCGTCATGGTTGCAATGCAAACATATTTGGGATGCAGTTCTTTTCCTCCAAATGTAGAATGCTATTTCATGACTGATTTGCGTCATCGCCTGAATAATTAATGATACGGAGTGAAGTAGTTGAATGAATTGACCATGCTACTTATTTTGGGAATCGCATCATTTCTGACTGTCCAGTGTCTGACGAAATCTGCACCGGAATTCAGAAGGTTCGATTGGCTTTTGCCGACTTGTGTCACTAGTGGTGTTGGTGAAATATCCGTCTACCAACAAAAGGACGAGTTTACTGTGCAACAGTTCATTCTGTTCTGCTTATGGATGCGGAACCTGGTTGTTAAGAGTAGAGAATATTCGTAGGTTACCGATATTCCATCATGGATGTCTACGAAACATTGCTTGTGTGTTTTGGGAGCACTGGGTAAGAAATGTCTAGGTTAGGAATAGAGTACTAGTTAAGGATGGAAAGTCGATAGATGAGGTAGCAAATCTTCATCAACTGTGTTAGTTAGGACATGTGCTGCGTATGCCCAACCACCGCCTACCTGGACGGTGTAACAATAGACTGGGATAAAACTATGACAGGCCAAACCAAAATATGCCATCAGTCGATGAAGCCACTGACGAATGAACTTGACCATGTTAATCGGTGTAGACTAACTGGTTGGAGTCCACGTGATTACCGTAACCAATGGTTAGGGATTTTGAATGAAGTGGCTCAAAATCGTTTACAATGGCGCAGTTGCATCCGTTTTTTCCTTCCAAAATTATGGGATTCTAAATTCCTCATACCCTTTTTTCTTTTTTATCTCAAAATGGTTTGCAGTGGCGAAAATTGACTTACTGTTGTGTTAAGTGATTATCCATTTATTAATTTCATTACTCTTACAAAGTCTTTTATCTTGATTATTACTAAAATTCTACATTGTTTAAAGAAGGTTTATTTTTGGGGGGGATTGTGGTTTATATTACTATAAATTCTTTAACGTCTTAATTTTATGCTTTAACATCATGAAATAATAATTTCAAGATAAATGGAAAATCAGCATAGTGTTTTGTAGAATATTCGTAGTTCAATTCACCAATCGAATTTCACTAAACGCTGTAATTATAATAATCTTGTACTCACTAATGACTAGCCCCGACCGTTGCTGGTCGAGCAGACAGGTCGGTTGAAGAGCGGTAAGACTAAAAGCCCCAAATCCATGGTCTGATGGCGAAGTCGTACTGCTGACTGTACAGAGGTGTGACAGCAGTAAGGTGTTTCCTTCAGACAACCGGTATAACAGCGATGCTACCTTCCCACACGGAGGGGTGGGGTTAGAAAAGGTCGACCCTGAAAATGCACACTTCGCCTTATCCCACGGATGTCCGTCTCCAGCAGTAAGGTCTTAACAACTACGGAGCTAACACGGAAACTACTCACAAAAAGATCATGTGTGACTGGCTTCATGCAGTTTTCTATTTGACACTGAGGTCACTCTGACCACCTCTAACAGCACTCAAGATTACTTTATTCACAATCAATCTCCCTCTTCGACTCCTATTATTCCTCTTAGGTCGGCTTTCAACTCTTAATTGGCTCTTTTGACTTCCTCCTCAAGTGTCACCACGGCGAGCGATTTAAGTTCGCGAAACATTGTCCCAGGTCTACTGAAACCTCGCTTCAAGCTACACATTGGAGCCTTCAACGTACTCACCCAATGTCAAATCACCCAACAGGCATCCCTCGCTTAAACCCTAGAAACTCGTACCATTGATGTATGCTATGTTTCCGAAACACGCATACAGGATCCTAGTGTGGTTATTTTCGTGACCACACTCTGTCAAAACGGAGCGCCGTTTATCTGGCGACCAGATGATTGATTTTCGTGGACAGGTGGGTGTAGGCATAGCACTAAGTACGAGGGCATAACAATCACTATTAGATTATATCCCTGTTTGACCCCCAAATGCCCTGGTACGGTCGAAAGTGAGGAGAGTCAGCTCTCACATAGCCACGTGCCTACAACCACTGCCAGGGAAGTCCTACTCAGTAACTTCTCGCGGCATTACTCTTGTTTACTAAATTGAGAGGATGAATAACGAATGTCCGGCGTTTTAACCGGGTTGTTGGATACAGAGGGTTCACCTACAGGAGTTGGAAAACCGTGACTCTAAACCAATGGTGCACGTGGGTTTCAAAATCTTAAAGGAACAAATGGGGTATGAGCCAATTGTTGGTCACTGACTACCATAGGAATGCATCTCCTTACGTTGCTCCACTATTTTGTGAATCAGACCTTTAGGTTGAAGGCTCCTGGTGTGGCCCCCTAAGAAGACCGCCTGCTTCTGTTTGGGCACATGGGCAGTATCATAACCCACAGAAATCAAGTGACTTGTGTGGCGCATATGTATTCAGTGCTACATTGTACCAATATTCATGTGTTCAAATAAATAAACGTAATTTGCCTATCGTTTTAATCAAATTGTCTTTCTGTCTATTCTTCCAAAAAAGGATATGGTCGTGATTATAATGACTTTTGTTCACATTCTGATAGCTTTTTAATTTCCATTAGCTTCTACTTTGTATAGGAAGACTTTTTCATCATCGAGATTTGTACAGATTGCTGTTTGAAAGTGGTATATTTTTTCATAGAAAATGTTTATAAAAACTTAACAAGTAGTTTTTTCTAATATTCTTCGAAATATTTAGTTAATATTCATCACAAATTTCCATATATATATATATATATATATATATTTCATTTATTTTTAGTTTGATCAGCATATCCCCATTAATATGCTTCGAGTGTATTGTTTATTAGCTGGAATTACAGAGTTCCCACATCCTTCAAATTCTTCAAATATTTCTGTACTTGCTGAACTTGATTGGATTCAAGCATTCGGTGCACATATATGGTATATATGTGATTACCAGGCAAATTTAGGTGAGATTTTATCTGTGTACAGTGACACTTGGCATTCTGATCAAAAGCCTAACACAAAACAAGGAGTACCACGTCCAAGTCCACCAACAGTTGACAAACTTATCAATCCAAATCTTGCTGTTTCGTCAGTCAAGGACTATCCTATTAGTGAAGAGACGGAAGGTATGTTCACCTCTAATTTCACACAGATGCATTGTAAATTGGTCCTTCTATTTCTAATTATTAAATATGTCTTATTGTTATTGGTGGGATTATTCATAGGTCCTAATCGTGAAATCAAATTTCGAGATTGGCCTCGAGACACAGCTTATCATCTTCTACAATTGTGTCGAAAACAGTTTCATTCTCTACAAAGAACATTGGATCCTTGTTCCTTTAGTCGACGTTCTTCATCATCTTGTGTTTTAAATCGTGACAATCTTCTGGATTGGGCTATGTCGTGGCATTTATGGCGTTTTCTTGTATCCTATGGATATCATCATTTTTACGATGATTTCTATGAAGACTTTTCTGAAATATCTACTCGTGTTTGCAATGAATTCGCCACACAGTTAGAAGCTGCAGGTCTATGGGAATGGTCAGTTTTTGTACTGCTTCATATAGATTGTGAGAAAACTCGAGAAGCATCTGTAAAATGTCTCATCGGTCGACATGTATCGTTAGTTTTGCCTTCAGGCCTTTTGAATAATTCCAATAAAAATTCTTCGTCTTGTTTGTCGGATATAGACTTCATGTCACATAAAATCTCTTTACTACCTACACCATCGTTAACTAAACCTGAATCGTTTGTGGTTAATCGTTTGGGCGTTCCTGTTCATTGGATTCACGAAGCAAAGGTAGATTTGATGTTTAAAATATATATATATATATATATATATATATATATATATATATATATATATATATATTATTCATGCTGTATGCGATTTATATTCATCTATGCGAATTGATCCCAATTAAAGAATTGTTAAAATCGACGAAAACAATTGCCTCGGTTGTTTTAATTTGCTCCTTGCATCATAATCCCAAAACTTCCATAGAGAAATTATGTTAAATTAGGCTAACAGCTATAAGCTAAAAATTACTTTTTAAGGACACAAAACAGTGAGGTTATATTACTTAATTAATGGTAATTGATATGTATACCTTAATGGAGAAAGGTTGTGTAGAGATAGTAAACATATCCAACATTCAAGTAGAAATCTTTTTATCATTCAGATCCACTTTTATCAGGATGTATATACATACAGTTGTATTAGGCTGTGTACATAAACTCCTGTAGTCTTTTAAGGTTAGCAATTTTCAACAGTCATATGTTACAGTGGTTGTATAATAACGAATAAAAATCTTATTAGCAGGTCACAGCTTTATTACAAACTTGACTTGAATATTTTTCACTGGTTGAAACCATGAGTCAATTGAAGCTAGACCACCATGAAAAACCTGGAATATTAAATATTTTTGTAGAAACCGAAACAAATATCTCTAATTGGTGATTGTTTTCTGTATGAAATATACGCTTGATTTCCACCTTTCATAAGTAAATTTTAAATACATTCTGAGTATATGCATTTCAACATTGAAACCTATTAATAGTAGTATTATTCATCAGAAATTAGATAATTTTCAACCATAAATATTTCGTTTCAGGCTATATTAGCAAGACATCGCTTAAAAGCCTACTTGCGTAAAACAGGTTTCAATACTGTTTCACAACAACGTACTTTAAACTCTACGGAAGATCGTAGCCAGTTTTGTATATTTGCAATGCTTGAAGCAAGTCATTGGTTTGCTGCTGGACGTATTCAAGCTGCAGATGAAGTTTTATCAAAGTATATACTACCGGAGCTTATTTTACATACGAATATTTCACCTTACTCAGCTTTTCAGCTAAGATTCGAATCAGTATACTCTGCAGTAGGTCATCGTATTGCTCGCTTGCTTGAGCCCTATAATTCCTTAGCAGAAAATTGTTTACCAAGTGATTTTCATTCAGGTAAGTAGTTGAATATTTATTCGCTAATTGTTATGTAATAACTTCAGTTATTTTATGCGCCGTAATCATACTATCGTACTTGTTTTTCTGACTAAATTTATTAGGAAACTGTTTGTACGATATACTGACAAAGTTAGTAGAAGGGAAATAGTTTTAAAAAAGTATTTCTCATTAAAATCGATCTGTTTCCAAACGTTCATACCATCAAGATATATAATGTCTAAACATGACTATCTGCGTCTTTAGATATAACTTTTAGTAACATTTTACATCTTCATGTATATTGTTTGTAAAAAAGAATAGCGCAGATTGTAAAGTTGGTTCAGTTTTGATAAATTAACACGTTGAATAGAAATATCTGTAGTTTTTTTACCTGTAACCATCTTTACAATGAAAAATACTTAATTATTGCATACATGACAATTTTATGCTCTTTTTTTCGAAGGCGTTGGTGTTTATCGATCTTTCGGTGAATTACTTTGCCTAGTAGATGAAGTTACAAATTTTTGCAAAGAATCATCACTACTAGATAGTGTATTGTATAGTCCTAGCAAGAAAAAATTGAAAGAAGATACTGATTTAACTAAACTAGATAATTTAGCATCGATTCTAACGAAATTAAAGTCAAAAGTCCCCAGTGTAACAGAAGAGATTAATTTAATGAAGATCAATTCATTTATTGAAAAGTGAGTTGTCATTTAAATAAATTAAACAATAACTAGGGATGTTATTAAGCTGTTATTTGATTGTTCGTTTGTTTTTACAGTACAATTTTGAGTAACCAAATAATTTTAAAAATTCCGGCAAGAAAAAATACTACCGGGAGCTGTAGCAAGTTGCTTACTTACTTACACCTGTTACCCTTCATTATGACAATGCTTCTAGCGTCTCAGAACCTTCTGTCATGTCGAAGTTAATGCTCCTTTTATCATTTTCTAATTTTCCTCCATAGTAGTTTCCTCTTTCAGTAAACCTTGTAATGCTTCCACCTGTTGTTGAGAGCAATCTTGAATTCGTTGGGTTTGTCAGTATATCGAAGGAATGTTGTATTGAACCTTTGTAATGCTGTTTCTCCAGTTGTCCATTACTTTGCTAGCTTCAGTTTCATCTTGGCCACAACCAAGTGGTGATCTCAGTCAGTCAGTAACAACGTAGAACTTCGTACGTATGTACATCAGTTCGAATTGTCATACCATATTAGCACAGAAATGCAGTTGTCGATTCAAATCCCGTAGAGGTAGTAAGGGTATAAGCAGTAATCGGAAAGATTAGGTTTTGAAGATGTTATTCAAGGAGTATAATCTAGTGAAATAAATTTGGAAAGAGGAAAAAAGGAGACAAGGAGAAATCAGGAGATTAATACTTGGAACATTCCATGTACCTATGTTAATTCTTGCTCTGGTTGTTAGGAGGGCTATCAGCTCCGTGTCCTCCGAAGGATATCAGCTTTCATCATGAGGCGTCATAATTCTTCTGAAAGAAGGGCCTTCAACCCGGAAGGCAGTTTTATTGGTTTAATTTTTTTTATTCTGGTTAGTTATTTGATTATTATAATGATGGTTTCACACAATGTAACTTTGTTGAGATTGCTTGTTACTGTTATTTTTGTTATGACTCAATTAGTCAGTTTAAAAAGTTCAATGTCTGTCCTGAGCAGCACAGATGTCAAATAAGTGCTTAGTTATAGGGGGATACTGCCACAAACGTCTTCAGGTAGATTTACCTGTATCTTCTGGATGATGGCTTTCGTAGTTCTCCAGGTTTCCGTCCCATACAGTAGAACTGTCTTGACATTTGTATTGTAAATCCTGACCTTGGTGTTGGTTGAGAGTTGCTTTGAGTTCCAGATGTTCCTCAGTTGTAAATATGCTGCTCTTGCTTTACCGATCCGCGCTTTCACATCTGCATCAGATCCACCGCATTCATCAATGATGCTGCCCAAATATGTAGAGGTTTTTACATCTTCCAAATCTTCTCCGTCAATTGTGACTGGATTGGTGCATGGTGTGTTGTATAGGAGAATCTTGCTTTTCCCTTTGTGTATATTGAGACCTACTGCTGCTGAGGCTGTTGTTACACTGGTCGTTTTCTCCTGCATTTGTTGTTGCGATTGTGATAGGAGGGCCAGATCATCTGCGAAGTCTAGATCGTCCAACTGCATCTTAGATGTCCATTGTATCCCGCGCTTCCCTTCAGACGTTGACGTCTTCATGATCCAGTCGGTCACCGGGAGAAAGAGGAAGGGTGAGAGTAAGCAACCTTGCCTGACACCGGTCTTTTTCTCGAACGAGTTTGTCAATTGTCCTCCATGCACAATTTTGCAGTTTAATCCATCATAGGAATTCCGCATGATATTGACTATCTTCTGAGGCACGCCGTAGTACTTAGAGTTTCTTGTTTTAGCGATGACTAGATCTGAAAATTTTCGTATTCCTGTCATATAAGCGCAAGGCTATGATCTGTCACTGTAATAAAGTATGTTGTGATTAGTGTTTAGATCTGCGGAAAGACATCACCATTTCTCTGCAATTATTTGCGCATTTTCATGTTGGCACTTTAATTTTTTTGATCCAATTCGAAAAACTCTGAATAGTTTCATGGTTCTGCGTCAATAGCATGATTTTATATGTAGTCCCACTTGACCTGGGGGTTAATCATATCAAGTCACGTCGAAGAGATGCCTATCTGTACTTAACTGGATGTCATTCCGTTTTGCTTTGATTATCTGGTGTAGTCAATAAGGAACAAAATTGATTTGTTTTTTACCCGTACTTATCAATCGATCAATTGTAGCGAATTAAAAGCCTACTAATGTCTCAATTCGATACTTTTATACTTTTGCAAGGAAAATCAAGGAAGGAGGTAAACAATTACTGCGAGTATATTCCGACTCACAATAACTTGTGGTTGATGAAACACGTGATACCATAAGAAGTTACTCTTCCCGCAACAACGAATCAATACATTATTACTACATGTTATTAACCACTTGAAGCGACTCGTGCATTGAGTAAATATCTTCCTCCTATAGTTCATTTATTTAATAAACATTATCTACTTATTTTAAACGCTTAGCCACGTTCATTTTTATTAAGTGATTATTGAAATCTTAATTGACTATTGACTTTCATATCTGACAAGCACTAAGTGCTAAAATTCTTTTCCCTTTCGGTAAGGAATATGATATGACTGTTCAGTTTCTCTTGTTTAGTGGATGGGACCTGTGGTTTTAAATATTTACATTTTTTTTATTATTTCAGAGTTGTACGCACAGAAATGGCTGCCGTTTGTATACATTTAACTTCTGCCTTTCTTGCAGCTAGCTGTTTGGAAAACATGAACGACGAGCAAAATTTGTCGACAAATGAAATGATTAAAAATCAGGAACAAGGCACGTTAAATTATCTAGAGCATCAACTTGTTTGTATGACTAAATTAGGCTTGCCAGCGGACTATCGATTGAAGGAACTTCGTGCAGTTGCAGAAATTAAGTTGTCTTTAGGGGTTGTGTAAGCAGGTTGTGAACTGACCATCTCCAGGTTGTAACTGTTTTTTAAAACAATGCGTTTTTTACGTCTTTACATTCTAACTTCCCACTGTTTTTATAATGTAAAGAGAATCAAGATGAAGCACATTTGTAAAATTAAAATTTTGATTTTTGTATTCAACAGTTGTCATCAAAGCAATTCAAAAAACAATCAAATGCACAACGGCCTGTATTATTCAGTTGTTTTTTTGGTGGATGTCCAAAACAGACTTCGGTTTTTGATACACTAACCTTATTGCACACACAAAAGCTCTTCAACCTATCCTTCCCTAGTTTACAGATTCGTCTGACTTTTGATCATCTTCTTTTGTCTGAATAAGTTCAAGTACATGTTTTACAGGCCTCACTCGACCATCTTCACCGATAGTTCCTGGTTGAATTAATCCAGATCTGAAAATGGGACCAATATTTTAGGATATAAATCAATCCAAAAAGCGTCTTTGGTTTTTAGAACTATGGGTTTATAAGTTATTTCATAAGGTTTATCTTACTTTGACCCATCACGTTTACAGTAACTCACCTCTCAAGTTTGTCGATTTTCTGTACTAAGTCCATAGCAAGATATTCCTTTTGTTCTTCAGACATGTTTTCCATTGGGTTCGGTTGTGGGATTTCCCATCGACCTGTTACAGGGTTCACATCTTCCTTCAACTTTTTATATTCTTCCGTTTCTGATTCCGTCGATGTAGCAGAATATTCACCATCTGACTCGACATTACAATTAGATTCTCTATTAACCTTTGATGTTTTCCCAAGTAAAGCATGACGTGCTAAAAATCCAGCGAAATTTCCAAAGCCCGTGTATTTCACTGCTCGTCCAACTAAATAAGTTAAATAATAATGATAATTAATCCCAGAATATCTTGTTATAAACTATTTAAATATATCAATCGATTGGCTGAGAAATCCGTTTTAAACACAGCAACGAAGAAAAACAATATAACAGACGAGATAAACAGTCACGATGGAAATCTGTACATAATAAATATTGTAGTTACATAATTGTTCGACCTGGAAATATTTCTCTTTTTCAATAATTCCCAGTGTACTTTGGTTTCTGAAGTAAGATTATTCAGGTTCTACTCAAAAAATCTTTCTAACCCTACAATTATCCGCCTACTCTTTTACAGATAGTAGTAAATACATGATTGGGATTTCCTCCGCTGGTTTACTTTATTTTCCCTGGTTAGTTATTTTATTTATCCGCTCATTAATATCGAATATCTTCTTCTTACTGAAAATATATTATCATCTGGCATTCATACGACAGACTACACTGCAAAAAGATGCACGGAGGACAGCTAACCGACACATTCCAGATGAGGACCGGAGACAAACAAGGCTGCTTACTCTCTCCCTTTCTCTTTCTTCTGGTGGTTGACTGGATTATGAAGACCTCCACATCTGACAGGAAGCACGGAATAAAATGGACAGGTCGGATCCAACCAGACGATTTGGACTTCGCGGACCACCTAGATCTTCTATCCCATACACACTAACAAATGCAGGTAGCAGCAGTCTCTGCATCAGTAGGCATCAACATACACAAGGAAAATGTAGGATCCTCGAATACAACACGAAGAACATCCATGCAATCACACTTGGTGGAGAAACTCTGGAAGAGGTGAAAACTTTAACAGCATCAACGATGAACAAGGAGAGTTTGATCCAGGCGTAAAGGCGAGGATTGGCAAAGCAAGGGTCGCATTCCTACGGTTGAAAAACATATGGAACTCAAAACAACTGTCAACCAATATCAAAGTCAGAATCTTCAATGTGAACGTCAAAACAGTTAGGACGTACATTGCGGAAGTCATCAAATTGAGTTACGAGGCAAGCGCCAACTTGAAATTCTGAAGGGAAAGTGGTAAAGAGGAATGTCGAAGAACGCATTGTTCCGAGAATTGAATGCCGACATCAAAAGGATGAATAGCAACTGGAATATACTGCCTAGGACAGAGTTGAATGGCGAATGCTGTTTGCGACGTCTGTTTCTCCATGAGGAGTAACAGATGTAAGTATATAATGCAAAAAATCCCAAAATCGACATGACTAATTCCATTTTGCAAATTTTCTGAATATATAACAGAATAAGACAATGTTTAATTAAACTTCAGGTGAAATCCTGATTTCGTTAGCAATATACTTGTTGTTTGTATTCTGGTCTTTTAAAGCACAGCGGTATAGTAGCGAAACAGCTTTCATGGTTCCTTTAAACATTTCTTAAACCTTGTCAAAAATCTGTTTTAAAGTTATCTACACTGAAAGTTAAAACAAAACCATCGGAATGCACATATCACATAGCTAGTTAAGGAATGTTACAGGATATATAAAGTGAATAATAATTTATTGAAGTGAAATCGCTAACAACATAATAATTCTACTTACTGTTTTCCTTGCAAAGTACAAAGATAAATAAGGCTGCTGATTCACCGACAATTTGAACTGGATGTGTTAGCAATTTACAAAGGCTAAAAAAAATAAAACTTAGTCTCACTGGCTCTCGTTGAATACGTTAAAATTAAAATAAATCGTCACCAGTATTTTAGCGCACCGGAATGAAGTAACCAACTCCGAATGTATTTTCATACAGAATGTATTTCTATTACATATATCTTGAGGACAGGCCTCAGTATTACGTCACTTAGAGTAGTCTGTTGTTTGTCATATGAGTAAGGATTCGGGACTAAAAATACGTTCGCTTCTTCGTTAGAAGAAATGAAGTAAACCTCAGTATTATTTGGTGTAGCAACCAGCTTCGTTAATAAATTTTTTTAATATAGCAGCAAAACATATCACTTCATTTTTATTTTTCATGCTGAGTATTACAAAAATCTAGTACATCTCCATGATCCTACTTGTTTAATTAATAGTGTTGTGTTATAAGCTCGTACGTATTGACACAATTTGAAATGAATTTAATTACTTAATTTGTTGATCTATAGCTAGGCAGGTAATGAACTGGTTTTGTCTACCTAAAGTGTGAGATTAGCAGCTAAATATGTTGCGCATTTGCTAAATGATGTGCGGTCAACAAAAAGCGTTATTGGATAAAATTTGTTTTTATACTTATAATTGGGTTTGTCATTAGCATATTTTTCAGAATTATCACGCGGTACTCATTTTTGTTTGTGTACATGCTAATCGATACCACTATTCGGAGACCTTATTTTGTAAAAACCTACACGTTAATGTCCAGCTAAAAACGTATGGAGATTAATAACCACTCAAAGAGTTCGGGTCGAAATACACGCTGGATATTTCATTTTATATGCATAAAGCTTTGAAAGCCGAAATTTCTAAAATACTAGTGCAAATAATAATGGCCGTCAAGTTCAGAACAAATAAAGCATTTCGATACTTACTAATTTCTTATATTATCGCCATCTTCTGGTAGGCGTTTAACATCCTTACCCAGGTAAGGTAGTACCTAAATGAAAAAGATGAAGGTGGATTGCTATAAATTTAGTGAGACTGATTGCACTTAGTTTCGATTTTTACATAAAACCGAAATGTCCGTTTTTCAAACGTTTGGGCCATTTATTTTCCAAATACGAATACTGCAACTTGCTTTCTTGTTTCAACTAAATGCTGACAATGATTCGTGTATATTTGTCAGAGATTCTGAGTTATCGAAAAGCTTATAGAAGGCTGTTTACAGATGTTAACTAAGGAATTTTATATTAACTTTAAGTGCGACAAACGCAAATTTATGAAAGCAACGTGTAAGTTTCGTAGAATGGTAATTTGATGTATCAACAAAATGATCCCTTTTAAAACGTCAATTTCATTTGCCCAACAACAACTTTAAGTGTCATTCCATACAATATTAGAGAATTATAAACGAACTAATGTTTCATCATCTAAACATCCCCGGTGGTCACTAATGAACAAGGCAACTGAGTCACTTTATTTATTAAAGCGCTTATCATATCATATTCATATGAACTAAAATCATTTTCAATGTACAGTGAAAAAAAGTCACAATTAGTGTACGACCCAACTGATAAAAATAATCCAAAGTATTCGATCGCATACATATGAGGTTTATGTAATAATTATCAACGGTAGTGGGTTGTGAAATCTATGTACACAAATAAACAGATGATTTATGGTTGATAGGAGAAGGAACAAAACTTAGTGAACAGTAGTTTATAACTCCCATTTTGCCATTAATTGTTATAATTCGGTTTAGACAACTATTTCCATAAACATAATAGTATTTAAGGTAGTTGTTTAAAAAAATATTTATTGATCAGATTGTTTATTTATAGGACGCATATCAAGGAAGTTAAAAATAATTAACAGTTATCCATTAATCACTTGGCTCAAATTTTAACTCACCCTTAAGCGACAAAATTTTCTGATCTGACGATTTGATTTACTTGCTCGCGTAAGACAGTTCAAAATCGGACAAATCCTTTCATCAGTTCGTATATCGTTAGCAGTTTCGGATTCCTTACGAGCATCCTAAAATGTAATTACAAGGAACTGGAAATGTTATACTAAGTGTGAATAATTTATTTAGTTCACGTAATACAAAACGATTAACATCAGTCAGTCCCAACGTAGAACTTCGTACGTACGTACATCAGTTCGAGTTGCCACACCACATTAGCACAGATGCAGTGGTCGATTCAAATCCCGTAATGGTAGAGGTAATAAAAGTATAAGCAGTAATCGGGAAAATTAGTGTTTGGAGATGTTATTTAAAGAGTATAATACAGTGAAATATATTTGGAAAGAGAAAAAAAAGAAAGGGACATGAAGAAATCAGAAGATTAGAATTTGGGAGAACACAAAGAGTGGATGCACCTGCGCCATTGCAAACGATTTTGAGCAATGTCATTCAAGGTCTCTAACCATCGGTTGCTGTCATCTCGCGGTCCCCAACCAGGTAGTCTACACCTACCAACATGACTCAGTCCACTTGTCAGTGATTTCATGGACTTGTGCCATGTTTTGGTCTGGCCACCCCTACCTTTCTTCCAACCTACTCCTATACCACTGAACATAGCACGTCGAGGAAGTCGGTCGTTGGGCATACGTAACACGTGTCCCAGCCATCTCAAATGATGAAGTTTCACTACTTCATCAATTGATTTGCCATCCTTACCTAGTACCTGTTTCCTAACAACTGCGTTACTTACTCGATGGTCCCAGGATATACGAGAAATATTTCAAAGACACCTATGATCAAATACTAGTAGCCTACGGATATCCTCTACTCTTACCGGCCATGTTTCACTGCCATAAAGTAGGACGGAACGAACTGCTGCGCAGTAAACACGTCCCTTGGTTGATAGACGGATATCTCGCCTACGCCATAAATGACGCAAGTTGGCAAAAGCTAGTCGAGCCTTCTGTATCCGTGCTGAGATTTCGTCACACACTAAACCACAAGGGCTGATGAGACTTCCAAGATAAGTGAAGCGGTCGACACACTCAACTACTTCACTCCCTATCACTAGTTCGGGTGTCAATGCAACCCAATCCTGGAGCAACATTTTGCATTTCGAGGGAGAGAATCGCATCCCGAACATGCTTGCATTGTTGCTTAGAGTGGTCAGAAGACTCTGCATTTTGTCAGCGTCTTCACCAAATAAAACTATGTCATCAGCATATTCTAAGTCAACAAGTGAACCTCCCGGTACAAGTTCAACCCCTGGAAATTTAGATGAGGAGAGTGTTATCTCTAAAAGTACGTCGACCACAAAGTTGAACAAGAATGGAGAGAGTGGACAGCCCTGACGAACACCACTTGAGGTAATCAATTCTGATGACAGTTCGCCATAAGCTCTCACTCTACCAGTTGTGTTCGAGTAGAGAGCCTTTATAAGGTTAATGTACTTCTTTGGCACTCCTTTCAGTGACAAACACTGCCATAGAACCTCACGATCAACAGAGTCGAATGCCGCCTTAAGGTCGAGAAATACTACCATTGTGGGGCGTCTGAATGTGTTTCTGTGTTCTAGAACCTGACGTAGTGTGAATATCTGATCTATACAACCACGTCCAGGTCGAAAACCAGCCTGGTTTTCTCTAATCTGCTCTTCACGAGCTTTGATTAGGCGTCGAAGTATTATTGAAGCTAATATTTTAGACACTATATTAGTCAAACTGATTCCTCTGTGATTGTCACAAGAGGACTTTTGTCCTTTCTTATAGACTGGCACAATCAGTGATTGAGACCAGTCAGATGGGATTACGTCCAGTTCCCAAATTCTACCTAAGACCTCAGTTAATCTCACTGCTAATACTGGACCACCATCCTTAAAAATCTCAGGAGTAAACCTGTCAGGGCCTGCTACTCTCCCTCGCTTCAGATTTCCTATGGCTTTTTCAACTTCGTAAACGGACGGAGGACCTACATTAACTTGCCATTCAGGTTGACTAGAGATCGTGGGAAACCGAAGTGTGGCTGAAGGCCAGTTGAACTGATCCCTAAAGTGTTCTGCCCATCGATCCAATCTCCTGGATTGAGAATGAATAATATGTCCATCTTTCTCTGAGATTGTTTCGCTAACAGTCGGGTTCCTAATTACGGTTTCCTTAACGAGTCTGAACAATTGTCTGCTATTACCTATTGCCGCTGCCTTTTCCATCTCTCTTGCTTTCGCTACCCACCACTGTTCGCGATCATTGCGTAGACTTCTTGTCAGCTTGCGCTTAAGCTGACTCCGCTTTTCATTATGTTCAGAGCCAGGTGGAATGAGTTTCCGAGCATCTATCAGTGAGATAGATGTTGTTGAGATCCAGTGTTGCTCCCTAACCCTGTGGTTTACCTTACTAGCAGATATCACTGCTGTTTCCACAGCTTTTCGGATATCATTCCATGCTGCATCGGAGTGGGCATCACATACATGGCTGCCTAACTGTTTGCCTAGTTGTTCCTGAAATATACTCTTAGCTTGACTATCATTAAGTAGGACCCTAAGAGGTTTCCTTGCAGCGTCTTTCCTACGTCCAGTTAGACGCAAGCAAATACGCGCTCGCACTAGAGCATGATCTGAATCTAGGCATGTGCTCCAGAATGAGCGACAGTCTTCTATCGAGCCCCTCCATCGGTGGCTGATAGCGATGTGATCTATTTGGGTCCAACGTTGGGACGAATTAGGGGGTCGTCATGTTAAAAGATGTTTTTCCTTATGCTCAAAGTTAGTATTTGCAAGGAACAGGCGGTTATCTGAGCATAGCTGCAACAGACGGTCGCCATTATCTGTTCTTTGAGCCACGATGCTATAAGATCCACCCAGGTGTCTTTCCCTATCGCTTAGTTTACCTACTTGAGCATTAAAGTCACCGGCCACTATTACTACATCAGAGCGCCTAGCTTTTCGGAAAAGGTCGGAGAGCTTTCTGTAAAACTCATCTTTTACATCATCTGAGCTGCAGTCAGTGGGAGAATAGGCAGAGACGATGAAGAGGCAACGACGAGTGTCCCTATCTTTCCGGATCCTTATTGTTCCGTTCAGTCGGACAGCGCACAAACGACTGTCTACTGGGATCCACTCTAAGAGAGCTAGTTCTGCCCTAGGACTCAATGCTATACCTACGCCGGCGAGGCCACGCGAAGCAGAATCAGGGCTTCCAGATACACGAAGCGTAAATCGAGTCGGTTCTTTATTTTGGCATGGTGAGGTCAAATGAATGACGCCACTCGGATCCTGTATGCGCGTTTCGGAGACGCAGCACACATCGATGGCGCGAGATTCCAAATTCTTAGCTAAGGAAGTCTGATGTCCTATTTGGCAGTGTTCGTACGTTAAAAGCTCCTACGTGTAGTTTAGGGCGTGGTTTCAGGAGACCAGGAATGGCGTTCCACGTACTCGAATCGTTTGCCCTAGCGGTGCGAGGTGATAAAGAGACGTGGGGAGGGTTAGTCGGGGAGATAAGAGAGGTATTAGAAGGTGTAGGAAGGATTTGAGTGTGACCAACTTGGTCTCGTGTGCTGTTACGGGTATGAGGGCTGATATCACTTCTCGACTGCCCAAACCATGGAAGGGTATTTCTTGAGGAACCTGAAAAGGAAATTGGATCAGTGTTGGTCTTAAAGACCTGGGAGCGTGGCAGTAGAGCCCAGGGGACAACTGCTTGAGGCCGGTCGCGCACGGCCTTTTCGTGGAAGGTCTTTAATGTGTTAGCTCCGTTCTTCAAAGGGCCTTACCGCCGGAGACGGAAATCCGTGAGGTAAGGTGAGGTGTGCATTTTTAGGGTCGACCTTTTCTAACCCCACCCCTCCTTGTGGGAAGGCAGCATCGCTGCAGATGCTGGTTGTCCGAGGGAAACACCTTACTGCTGTCACAGCCCTCTACAGTCAGCAGTACGACTTCGCCCTCAGACCTTGAGTTGCTGCTTTTAGTCTTACCGTTCTCCAATCGACCTGCCTGGCATGGTAGAACCTACAGGAACATATGTTCCAGCCAATATAGCTCGGTTGGGTCATCACGATAGGCAAGCCCGACCACCGCGTCAAGGTATCAGCTTCGGTCGGGAAACGATTAACATAGTAATTCTCTATCCTTTACCTTTGAAAGTACTTTACTTTTCAGCACTTGTCGTTTATATATGAATATAAGAGACTGACATAATCTTAAAGGACGTTATTTTAAATTAACAAGACTTGTAGATATATAACACTTTAAGAAGCCAACTGAATAACTATGAGGGGACGTTATAAAAAAGTGTATGGGAGAAGACGTACCAACTTAAGCTGTGAGTGAAGAAAGACTATCAAAATTTCAATTGTAGACATCACATTTGTTTTGTTTTCTGAAGCCGAATCTTTGATTGAGCTATCAGTGACATGATCTCTAGAATTTTCATCTAAAAGGTATTTGTATAAATGTTTCGGAATGATGTTCAATACGTTGACCACCTGGCTGAAAGAAAGACGAGAATAAAAATAAGAACCAATTTTTTTTACTTATTTGAACACATAAATATTGGTACAAGAGGGCTGTGATACTGCCCGGGTGCCCAAACCAAAGCAGGTGGTTTTCTTAGGGTGCCACACCCCGAGCCTTTGACCTAAAGGTCTGACCCACAAGGCAGTGGGGCATCGCGAAGAGATGCAGTCCCACGGTAGTCGGTGACCATAAATTGGTTCATACGCATTTCGAGAGGAAGGGCGGGCCCACTCCACTCCCGGCCATACCAGGGCATTTTGGGAGCCATAAGAACCAATAACATTTATTAATCATAACTCGACACCTAGATGGTTTTATCCCGGTCAGTTATGTGAAGACAAACAAAACTGAAATGTTTTACTTGAGTGATAAGATATTTCACTCTCTGAATATCAAAATAAAATAACTTGGTTTATATATGTGGTTAATAATGCTTATAGAGATGTCGTACAAACCACACTTTTTTAGTTCGGTGTGAAATACCAGTCTTCAAGAAGAAAACTTTATGTAAGACAATAATCTTACCATCCTAGGAGTAAATTCTTTTTCATTATAAGCACGTAAATTATGGTACAACTGGTCAACAGAAAATGCACCACACAGATGAAGCGATAATATTGTGGCGACAAAGAGTGGTAGAATCAATAAACAGATAGTATTTAATACAAGGCACGAGTCAGCCAAGATTCCATTGGTAACAAAAGTTTATTTTAATTAAGTGTAACGAAACTACGCCAGGGCCTCTAGTGGCTTCTATTCTGATGACAATTCCAGCCACTGAATTACCCAGTGCCTACGATCCTAAGTGGGGGGAGTCGTAATAAACCAAAAATATCACTAGATATCTTGTATGTCACGAAGTTGTGTCATAAACTGAACTCCTCTCTGATCTTTCCACCTAGTTCCCGAGTCTGCAAACGGTGCACGATGTGGAAGCCTGTAGAAAGTATTCAGATCATCAAAGTTCGTGTTTTTAAGATAGTGATACCAATTTGATTACAGATCATAAAAATATACCAAAGTTCAAAATAAGAAATCAGATATTTTTAGAAATACGATTGCTAAAAATACAACACCGAAACAAAAGACAAGAAGTTGCAGTTATATAGAAAAAATTTTGATAGTTCTGCGCAGCTACAATAAATTTTAAGGTTTTTTAGCGTTGAAATCTCGATAATCATATTGTATTAGCTTCAACGAAAGATTTATCAACAATATTCTCGAGGTGAACAGAAGAATATGTGTGAACTGCTGTACTTGTTTTCTATAACAGTTTATAGGTTGTAACGTTCAGTTGAGTAGTTTTATTTCATTTCAATTAGACCGCGTACAGCTATCTGAGGAAAAGCTACTACCCACGTCTATGCTTAGCATTAATAACAAGAGCAACGTAACTTAAGTCAAAAAGTAACTTTGACACCTTGCAGGTAAGAAACACATTTTAAAAACTCACTATAATTGAGGTTGCTTATCGGTATTGGTTTCTATATGTATCATAAAAGTATGCAGTTTCCTGTTTGACAGATTTAAGTGAGACGAACGATAAACACTACACACCAGATCATTTTCTATACTGATATCCAGATGGGCGCATTTGTATATGTCTAACATGGACAACATTTGACTCGCATTACCGAGGACGTAAGAGAGCTTGTATGTTCTCTAGTGTTTAGAAATGGTCACAAGAACATTACAAAAATAAGTATCCTAACTACCAACTTATTCAAGATTTGAAGTTCCAAACTTATCTGACGAAAACTCCCAGTTAAAATAAACATGGTAACTGCTCACTTTTAACTTTTAATGTCTACATGTGTAAAATACGTAACTACTTACCTGACCAAAGCATAATTAGTGAATTCATCCAATACTGGATCTTGTAAAATGCACCTCAACATTACCACCAGATTCTGTATGTCATCACCTAACTAGCACATCAATTAGCAAAATATTTTGAAACCTCTTTAGTTATATCTTCGTCTCTAGTTGAGTAGAGTACGTTATATACAACTTTAAGTGCTTCTGCTGAAACATTCGAATCGGTTATGTTTGATCTTTTCATATTCACAACTCTCACAAGCATTCGCAGAGCGTTGGATTCCATTAGTTCTTGTCTAAATTCTATGTGATTTAAATATTACAATACCTTGAAGCTGAATCCAGAGCGGTAACAAGAAAAAGAAGCTTAAGACATAACAGGAGCTTCTCATTATCTTCAGTTTCAATGAGGATATCCACACTTTCTAGCACATTTTTAATGAAACCCATGGTCCTAAACAGTTAAAATACAGAGGTACGACTGACTTAAGTGGTCCTATGACACATGGCTCTTTAAATACAATATTGGAAAGAGATTTTAGAGCTTCTAGACTAGTTTTAGAATACTCAAGGTTGTAGTTATATTCGAAGGCATATTTGAAGAGTTGGGATAAAAAAAACTCGGATGTAAGTTCCTTCCGCAGGATATTGTCGCGCGTCAATATTCGCAAACAACAAAGACAAGTATGCAATCCAGAAACGGTATGGTCCTCAAACTTTTTACGGCATTCTTGCAATATTTCCTAGAAAAAGTAATACAAATCCACTAGTTACCTCCTTCGTTTTAAAATCAACATTGTCGATATCAAAGTTGCAATCGTTCTTTGTAATGACCATTAAGGAAACAATAGCAAACCATACCTCTGATACAAACTTTTCCAAAACTGAATTATCGTCGCTCATTTTGACTGAGCTGTTCAGATGCTACTTTATACACAAAAGATTGTGAGTATATGGGGACTTGAAAACTATGTTACTGCAATCAGCTGTTGTTACCAAAAGACCTCATGGAGGTGGTTGCACTTGAAGGTCAAGCATCTCTCAAATTATTGGTGCGTTCGACACAGTAATTATTTATTTAAAGCAAGATTTCTAGATCTGTAACTTTTCAAAAATATTCGGAAATAATCAGTAGACAGGATGGTGAAAAAGCTTATTTTGTTATCACTTGGCCGACACATGCCAAGGTTTGCATAATTTATCTAGTAAAATTTTCATTTCGGTGTTGTGGGATTTGTTGAATTTCATTGGGATCATGAACCGATCAATATAAACCAATATTAAAAACCTGGACGACCGTCCAGGGGTTTAGCGTTTGTGTGAGACCGAAGTTTTCGCATTCGAAATCCGTGTGCGGAATCGTGGGTACTCATAACCAGTGAGTCCCATACAAGAATGAAACAACCGTCCAGTGCTTCCAGGTTTTCAGTGATGGTATAATGTTAGTCGGCTGATGGTATCGATGAAATAAAGGAACTTTCATTAGACTCAAGGATGACCAATGCAAAATGACCAGTTGGTGCCATGTAAAACAATGTGATAGTCTCATTTGGTGTTGGAAGATGGTTATTGCTTTATGGATTATTGAGTGCACCATTAGAGATCCAAGATAATACATCCATATGTATTCAACTTTTCTGACTCGAGCCTCAGTCTGTTTCTGATCACTAAAGTATTTTTTGCACAAATCTGAATAGAACTGCTTCATATATCACGCTCAGCATTATTATATGGTGTACTTGACCGCCTCTTGTACGTATTGTCGTTTCATTATCTAGTCTTTTCGCCGTCAAAGGAAAAGGATAATCACACCGCAACGCTCAGGTCGATTAGGTTAATGACTTATCAGATAGTTCGAATTCTGTATAGTGTTATGTATTAACACTCGCATACCGACTAGCTATCAAAAAGTTAAGAATGTTACTAAAATAGTGTGTTAGTAAATAAATCCCCAAAGTAAATAGCTCTGCAAGTCTTTGACATTTAATGCTGACCTCGTTAGTTTTCATGGATACATCTAACTGGACATACTCGGTTAAGCATCGGCACCAGATCATGAGTGAGTACGCAATGCTACGCACCTCTTACAACCGTTAGCCAGCTTAGGTTAAACGCTCCCCAAAATGTCGATAGCCTTCAAATATATCATCATCTTGATGGAACGGACACCTAAGTTACTAAGGATTAAACCTCATTCGCATCCCTCACCCCAGCTAATGCCACTTCGCCCCAATAATATAGAAGCCTGGTTCCACTACACAGATGCTGACTCCCACTAGTGACATCACTAGTGATTTCATGAAACCATATGAAACTCTAAAAAGAGATATACTTAAACATGGACACTTAACCGACGGACGAAGATTAGACAAGCTCTTCCACAACATTGATTTGCAACATGGTCCAGAGACAGAAGTGCAGCTACCAATAATAGTTTGTAACAGTTGAGGTTGATTAATTAAGAATTGACCACCAATAACTAAGTATATGTCAAAACAATAGAGCTCAAGCGCTGATTCACTTACTTACCTCGTATAGACACTATATTTTTAATAACCTGGTATTGAATGTTGGAAAGTTTTGTGTGTTCGAACAGGCAACCTGCCGCTCCACTGTGAATGTCGCACGATCATAATAGAGACCTATTCACCACTAGTTTGGTTTCTTCTATCAGTATAACAAGGGCTACCCTCAGGCACAAAAGGTCCATTTGTCGACAGACCTTTGATGAGGGCTTGTTTAAACAGCTCTTCATGACAAAGCTCCCCGAGAGGTGCTGGCAGCCCTCGTCCCATTTCAAAATAACACCGTAGACGAACTAGCTGCATATACTGATCAGATTCTGGAGATCACCAGAACCCCGAACAACGAGGTTTATTCTGTCAGAGGAGAACCTGAAACAGCACAAAACAAAGTCACAGACCTCTGTCACATTTAATTATTATCTGGATAATCATTGTGATCATAGACGCTTTTAAACTCCCCAATTAAGCTCGTCATGGCGAAGATCTTTTTCTATACCATGAGAGACAGATAAATCCCATTGATGCTAGTGTAATAATCACTACGGCAAATCTCGAAATCACAGAAGACCTTGCAATTTCCCGAACTCCAAACCAACCAACACAAAAAGTCTTTCAGGAAACTCCCGATTTGGCACACTTTAATCGCTTCCCTAGCCAGAAGATGTGGTGCCACACATTCTACAAAGGGTTGCGAGTGGCAACAGAGAAACATCCGTGGTTGTTCAGAGAAGTTTCATTGAACCCGAAGGCAAACCGTGAGATGACAAGGATCATGTGTGAGACTTTTAATACACCAGGTACGTGTGCTGCTACTCAAACGGTGTTGTCACTATGTACACCTGATCGTACAACTGGTATAGTGTTGGACTTAGGTGACGGTGTGACCCACACAGTTCCGATTTATGAAGATTATGCGTTGGCTTATACTGTTTTGCGATTGGACTTTGCTGGTAGAGTTCTTGCCGACTTTAGGATGAAGATCCTGACTAAGACAGGTTGCAGTTCCTCTGTCTATTCGTGGAACATACTCAGGCGCAAACCACCGGACATCGTTCTACTCTATAGTAAGTCTAGAGTGGCACCTATAAAACAGGTAACTGTGCCTAGACTGGAACTAACAGCGGCAGTATTGAGTGCTAGAATGGGGGAAGTTTTAAATAAGAACCTTCCTCATGTGTTTGACAAGACTCACTTCTGGACGGATTCTATGACAGTACTGTGCTATATAAAAAATACAGATAGTAGGTATTCCACCTTCGTGGCTAATCGTCTGGCGGCTATTCGTCATTTAACATCTGTGGACCAGTGGGGGCACGTCGAATCCAACGAAAATCCTGCTGACTGGACATCACGAGGCATACGGAAGGAGCTAGATTTAAAGAACTGGATTGAGGGTCCTTCCTTCTTGAGGAAGAGGGAGTCTGTAGGAACACTAACGCTTATGTGCGAAAACCCCCCAGAAAATGTTGAATTTAAAAGATGTCACACGACCAACGCAGTTGCGAAAAAACATAGCTTAAGTCCAATTCTGCTATATCACTCAAAGTGGATAAAGCTGATTAAAGCGGTAGCATGGCTCAGAAGATACGTGACCTATATAACCATCATGTACTCCCGTCACAATGACAGGTCCTTAAGTGTGGGCTATCTGTCAGTTGATGAATTAGATGCAGCTAAACACAAGGTATTAGCCTTAGTGCAAAAGGAAGTGTATGGGGAAGCAGTAAAAGTGTCTCGATGCAATGGCGTAAGCGCAACTGATATAAAAGAGCTAAAAAATCTTTCACCTACGCTAATCGATGGATTGCTTTGTGTCGGCGGACGATTAAATTACTCGGATTATCGACTCTCAATCAGACATCCGGTAATTTTACCCAGTCATCACTTCGTAACAGAACTTATTATTAGACACCATCACCACCTAGGTCACACCGGGACATCACAAGTGTTAGCTAACATACGACGAAATTATGGGATTGTTAGAGGAACCAGTGCAGTTAAACGAGTGATAGGTAGATGTGTGAGGTGTATACGCGCGAAAGCCACATTAGGCCAACAGATGATGGCACCTCTCCCCAAGTGTCGAGTGCGGCAAGGCTGGTTTTGCTTCTCCTCCGTCGGGATAGGCTATTTTGGACCGCTGATAGTGCGTCGGGGAAGAAGTGAGGAAAAACGATATGGATGCCTATTTACGTGTCTCCAAACACGTGCCGTACATTTGGAAGCAGCTTTCAATTTGAGTACTGATGCTTTTATAATGGCTTTAATACGTTTCATAGGAAGGAGAGGAACTCCTAAGGAAATCTATAGCGACAATGGAACTAACTTTGTCGGGGCTACTTCCGAATTATGGGCTAATATGAGTGTGTGGGACAAGCATAGAATAAACGACTTAACAGTATCGAAGGGTATACGCTGGCATTTCAACCCCCCACTAACTAGCCATCGAGGCGGAGTTTGGGAGAGATTAATACGGTCTGTTCGGAGGATCTTACTATATGTTTCCAACGGGCAAATATTACACGATGATAGTTTGGCAACTTATTTTGTGGAGGTAGAACGAATTTTAAACAACCGCTCAATCGTTCCTGTGACGTCAGATGAAAAGGATGATTTGGCGTTCACGCCAAACACTTTGTTATTACTAAGAGACTGTGATGGTTTAGGAATGGAGTGTAGTGTTACGGATAGGTATTCAAAGCGATGGAGACAGGTAAATTGTTTAGCCAATACCTTCTGGCGTCGATAGATAAAAGAGTACATTCCTTTACTGCAAGTGAGGCAGAAATGGTTTTGCAAACACAGAAACTTAAAAGAAGGTGATGTAGTTCTAGTGGCTAACGATGCAACTACTCGGGATTCATGGCCAATGGGACGGGTTGATAAGTGCGAGACAGATAGAGATGGATTGGTAAGAACAGTGATGGTGCGAATGAGAGAAGGTGTAGTAAGAAGAGATGTGCGAAAGCTCTGCCTTCTAGAGGGAGCCGAGTAATTGTAGATTGTAGCTTAAGTTTATGGATGTACAGGCGTAATGTTGTAAGTCCTGTGCCTCCCATTGATATAGAGCAGTTAGTAAGGAGAGCCATGACAGAAATGTATTCTAAGGTGTCTTTGCGAAGCTGGAGGGATTTTGGGGGCCGGTGTAACGGAAAGAGAACAGTGAAAATCCCTCTGCAGGTTCTTTGTTGAACAGTATTTTCATTTATTTGTTCCTTCTCCCTTTTGTGTATTCCAACCTCTGTTTCGATCTCGTTTAACCATGTCTTTTGTTCTTCAGTCTTCCCCGTTTGAGCCTTTATTATGTGATTTTGATTAAAGACTTATTTTTGTTACCTAATTTTCTATTGCGTGTTGCCGGACCATTGACAGTAAGGTTGTGTTTGACTAAGCTCAAGGTCACGGCGTGGTTCAGTTTGTGACTGTTAACCTTCTGACTGTCTGCTTGGGAGAATTGCTGCAATCCCTGCAGATAGATATTTGATCCCATCTGATTGGGAATATTTGTATTGATTCTCAGGTATCAAGCCCTTAAGTATTAACTGTCTCTTTCATTGTTTAGCGCGCTACTTTGCGTTAGAGAAACTTCTGACTGTATAGCACAGGCTGTACCGTTTGAGGTATTTTGTATTTTTGACGTAAT